AGCCACATCCCAAGCCTGGAAAGGAATTCTTGAAAGCTTGTCAGGGCCCCATTGGTGATCTTACTGATGGTGTGTTTTTCACACAGGAGATGGAGGAAGATGAAGATGATGATTTTTTGAAAGGCGAAGTGCCCCAGAACGATGCTGTGATTGGGATCACACCGAGCTCCCTTGATGCCCATTTCCGAAGTCCTTCTAGTAGCGTGGGCTCCCCTCCTGTGCTGTACATGCCAGGCCAGTCCCCTGTCACCTCAAGGATTTGCGATTGAGCTGCACTGCCTTCCCATGGTGTCCTCTGTGCCCAGGCTTGTCACAGGGGGTCACCTTGGCTGGAGCACACGCTGCAGGATGGCACTTTGATTCCAGACTTCATTCATCATCTGAACAGAGGTGGCAGGTTCTGTTCGMTGTCTTCACAGATGAAAGGAAAAGAATATCATGTGCAATATTTTACAGAGGGGTTAATGATAAACGGTGGAGACTGCTCGTTAGTGTAATGTGTACATTTTTGGGGTACTGCAGCTTTTTGATGTAATTTTGTGTAATTTTGTATTGGCCACAACCTGTTTTAACCAATAATTTCTTCACTTAAGTTTTTCTGAGGACTGCAGCCACGGGACTTCACTGGCTGCGCTGTTCACTTCCTTGTCGTTGTGTTGTTGAGTGGGGTCAGAGGAGACAGACAAAAAATGAGCGGTGCCAGAGTTGGGCTGGAATACTGAGTTGAGCTGCCACCATAGGAGATCTCCAGGGACATCGGAGACCCATAATGGCTAGGAGTGGGTTTAGAAAAACAGAATCAGACATCATACTTGTGCAGTGCAGAAATGGATTTGAGAGGAAAATGGAGGTTCAGGTAAGTGTACAGTTCATGTTGACTGAAAGTGGCTTTGCTTTTTGTGAAGCACAGCTTGGTATTTTACCCTTTGACTCCCCAGCGTCCCTTCTGCAGCAGTTACACTGAGCTAGTTGTGACCAGCATCAGTCGGTTATTTTAGAGCTTTTTTTTTTGGTCCAAATAGGAAAAAGATTTTTCAGTGATTTTTTTTTTTTTTTTTTTTTTTGCTAGCTAGACTGAGTAGTAGTCGGAGGTTACTCCTGCAGAACCCACTGCAGCTGCACTTACCCTGTGTTCAGCCTCGGGGAAGCCCTTCCTTAACAAACCTCTTTTTATATTTTTATAACTAAACCCTGAGAGGGAGTCTAAGACAGCCTTGCCTTGTGACAAACTTGTGCAAGCACCGCCAGGGTTGTTCGAAGCTCAAGTGTATTTTCCCATTGTTCCTTATATGTATATTTCTTTGTGTAATTGTGAAGATGGTCATTTTTAAGCATATTTATTTTTCTGCTACTTCTATTTATTTAAAGGCCAACAATATTTTCTTGATTACAAATATTTTGTAACGAAATACTTCCTTTTTTCTAGGGCTTTCTATGCTCTTGTATAATTACATTGATGGCAATGTAGAGTTTGAATTTCTGTCTGTAAATATATTTTTAGAGAAGATTTTTATTGCTTTAAAAAGTTTTGGATATTGGTGATTTTCTTTTGGTGACTTGGTGGAAAATCATTTGAGAACCTTAAGGTTCTCTTTTTTTAAACTGCTGACAAGAAGGTAGATTTTTGTATACTGGATAAAATGAGTAAATAAAATTGTATTCACAGAAATTTATGGAAATTGGGGTCCTAGTGGTTTGGGAAGTAGTTATAATCTAGTAGGATATATTTACAAATATAAGTCTTGCTAAATGTCAAAGGGGTTTGAGAAGTCCATTGTGAAAATAAAACAATTACATGGTTAATTTTGAACTTTCATTCTTATGTCAATAGAGGGGAGGGTACCTTAATAAAAAGACTTCTCACATATGTTTTGATGCCTGTGTACATTTGTTTATAATAACTGATGTGTTAAAACATCTTTTTTTTTTTTTTTTTTGCACTGAAAAATTTCTCCTGAGACCTCACTTTTTTTTTTCTTTCTTTTTTCTTCTACTGGGGATTGAATCTAGAGGTGCAGCCACATCCCCAGCCCTGCTGTTACTTGTTTGTTTGTTTTTTGAGACAGGGTCTAAGATGCTTAGGGCTTTGCTTAGTTGCTGAGGTTGGAACTGAACTTTCAGTCCTCCTGCCGCAGCCTCCCAAGCCACTGGGATTAAAGGTGTGCACCACTGTGCCCAGCAAGACYTCATATTAAAGAGAAAAATAATTGCCATTATGATTGGGAGAGTTCAGAAATAAATTGCACGTCCTAGTGAGGATGGCTTCCAGGTGCATAAGCATCAGTGGGTCTCTTGGGCACGCACAGCTGAGAGTGACAGGCTTGAGCAGGTCCAGTGAAGCACTTTGACATGTTACATGTAGCTGGTGTGAATGGACTAGTGACTATTATAAACTGTCATGTTGACCTGACTTCCCTTTCTAACCAGCCATTTGGCTTTAGCAAGTTACCTAGCCTATCTCCAAGCTTCATGTTTAATAGGCTGTAAAGTAGGAATAGCTCAAGCCTGGCATGGTGGCTAGTGCCTGTCTTCCCAGCACTTGTGTGTCTGAGATGGGAGGATGAACTCAAGAGCAAATGTCCAGACCAGCCTGGACAACAGAGCAAGATCCTCTAAAAACAGGAAGGGACTAATTGATGACTGCTTTATGGTTGAGGCATGTGAAAGTTAATCATAGGTGTTGTGGCTGTCTCATGAGAAAGTACTTAAGTATGAGGCTCTTAACGGAAAAGTCTTTTCAGGTCAAAGATGACTTCCATTTCTTCATGTCACTTCTGTGGTACCAACTTAAAAAAGATCTGAATGGGAGAGGATGGGCCAGAGTCTCCCTCTGTGAGGCATGCTTATAATGGTGGTTCTTAACTCTGCTTAGGCCCTAGTTTGCTCTTGGGAGCTTTGAAAAACTATTAGATTCAGGCAAATCCCACAAAGCATCGTCTGCAATTCCAAAATGCCCCCCCCTCTCCCGGTCCTGGCAATGGAACTCAGGATGTCACATATGCTAGGCAAATGCTCTACCACTAAGCTATATTCTGCAGACACTATCTCATTTTTTAAGATAGTGTCTGAAGTTGCCCAGGCTGCCCTTGAACTTGTGATCCTCCTCCCTGCACCTCCCGACTAGCTGAAATTATAGGTCTGCCACTGGCCTGGCCCAAATGTCTCACTTCTCTTGTCTTCACTTTCCAATTCTGTAGTAAGTTATCACCAAGTTTTAAATTATTTTTTATCTGTATGGTGTTTTTTAATTGGTGCATTATACATTATACTTAAACATAWTGGTGGGATTCGTTACATATTTGTATATGCACATGATATAACAATTTGGCCAATATCACTCCCTTGTATTCCCCTTTCCCTATACTTTGCAATTCGGATAGTTATTTTCATTTTTTTTATTTTTTACACTTGACCCCAGAGGTACTAGTCTCCAGTCCTTTTTATGTTTTATTTTGAAACAGGGTCTAAGTTGTTTTGAGCTTTGCCAAATTGCTGAAGTTGGCCTCGAACTTGCAATTCTCCTGCCTCAGCCTCCTGGGATTACAGGGGCGCACTACCACACCTGGCTTCTTTATTTACTGCATGCTGGGTAACACTTTATGATTCCTATCCTACAGATGAAGAAGCCAGTTGAAAGAAGTATCTTGCTCAAAGTTACTCTGCTGCTATTTGGTTACGTTAGATTCAGATCATCATTTTAGCCCAAAGCTTTCCCCTTGGGGGTTTAATTTTACCTGCATTACAACAATTGCAGCAAGCCCTACTATTTAGGACTATATTAAGATGATAGAACTGGCTTTGAAATCACGCAAAGCCGCCTTTAACCTTAGCTCAACCAYTTACTATTTGTATGACTTGGGGCTAATGCTATCTGTCAGAAGGCAGGTGTTGATGGTAAATGAGAAATACAGGTGATTCATAGAGAAGTGCTTGTCCGAAAGGGAGAATCGGTTCTGGGTAAGAAGTTGGGTAAGCTGGGGATGGGGCCGTCTCCTACCCGCATTTCTTTAAGTTTTAGGATCTTCGTTGAAGGGGCTTGGAAACTTGAGTGGGAGGTGCTTGAAAGAAAGGGATGCAAAACACAGCTGGTGAAATTCTAATGAAGTTCCCCTCTGCGTGAGGCGATTCTGCCCCAACACCTTTCGGAAAGTTACCTCCCGTTAGTGTAGTTGGATCTCACTGAGTAATGCTCCCAGGTGTTGGAAGAGAGCCCCGCCGAGACGCCGCCCCGCAAGGCTGTTCCTGTCCGTGCTCCAAACAGCAAGTGTTGCCCACGGTTTCTAGGCGTGGGGGACCAGTACAGTTCGGGAATCTATTTTTCTCGGTAAATCGTGCCTTGAATACAGCCCCCAGGAGCTGCACAGCAGGGACCCAAGCTTGCGAAGGTCGCACACCTGAGGAGGGTGGGGCAGGGGWACGAAGCCGGCGGGCTCCAGCCGCGGGCACCACTAGGACCCGGGTCTCTGCGCCGCGCAGCCGCTGCCCTCGCCCCGCCCCCGCGGCCTGGCCCCGCCCCCGGCTCCCACGCTCTCAGGACTTCACTTCCCGGCGCCCCTTGTGGAGGAGGCCGCCGCGCTCGGACTACATTTCCCGTGAGGCCCTGCGGCCCCCTCCCTGGCTCTCTCCGGCTCTCCCGGGTTTCTGCAGGCGACGCCGCGCCCGTCSGGACTCCACCTCCCGGCAGCACCCGCGGCGGGGCAGGGTGGGCGGGTCGCGGCGGTCCGAGGGGCGGGGGCGGCGGCGGCGCCAGGACTGGGGAGGCCGCCGCCTCCCTGGGCCTGCCCGGGCGGCCGCCTCCGCGATGCCGCTGCTGGTCGACGGGCGGCGAGTGCGGCTGCCGCAGTCCGCCGGGGAGCTGGTCCGAGCCCACCCGTCTCTGGAGGTAAGCGGGGCCCGGCGCGGGGGCTTCGGGGCGGGCCCGAGGGGAGCCGCCGGGCCAGGCTGCCCGGCAGAAGGAGCCCTCCTCCGCCCGCCGCCGCCACCGCCACCGCCGTCCCTCTCCTGACACGGAGTTGAAAGTTGGCGCTGCCGSCGCGTTCGGAGCCCGGCCGCCAACGCGGTTTCCTCTTGGGACTCCGCGGACCTCTTCCTTCTTCAGACCTCAGAGGGCACTGCCCAGGCCCCTCTGTTACAAGGAAGGGACGGGCCCAGAGAGGTTAGGTGACTGGACCCGGGTCGCACAGCGCCGGGCTTGAGGACACCCCGGGACCCCCGGATCCCAGCAGGGCGTTGCCTCCCCCCAGTGCGGACTTGCGGCTTTTAGGCAAATCTGGGCGCCCGCCCTGGCTCACTGGCTCTCGCAGGGGGTCCCCGCCCTGCGGGGAACCCTGCTGCGTCCTGGTGCCCTCGGAAGCAAGGCTGTTGCAGGGGGGGCCGCCGACAGCGCCTGGGCAGAGGTGTCCCGGCGGGTTCCTTCTCCTTTCTCCCCCGGCCCTCCTACCCCCGGATGTGGGGCGCCTGGTTATTTTTAGCCCGAGGAGAGGACCACGCCCTGATGGAAGGGTTTTTTGTCTTTGTTTTTCCTGCTTTTGTCCCCGAGTACTTCTCTGAACCCTCAGTCCACGCGCGTGCAGGGACGTTGGGCAGAGTGCACGGTGTGAACTCGKCGGGGACTCGGATCCCGCCAAGGGGGCGTCACCCTGCCGGTGGAGGTGCGGGCCCGTCCCGACCGCCGGCGACCTCGGGGCGCCTCCGGGCGAGCGGGGAAGTGGGTTTTCATCAGAGAAACAGCTCCAAGATCGCAGCGTCAAGTGCCGCGAAGAGAAACGGGCGGGCGTCGCTCTGGGTCGGGAAGCAGAGGACCCCAGGCTGGGTTCCAGAGGCTTCCCCGGCTGGACAGTCCGTGGCGTTGGGTTGGCTAACTTGGTCCCCCGGGTCTGTCCCCGCGATGTCAGCTTCCCAAGGTGGAGAGCGAGTGTCTTCACCTTTGTACCGGGGAGCCCAGGACAGCCCCTGTCCTAGACTTTGTGCTCAGTAAATATTAGTGACACCGATGAATGAACACATTGACCCTGAAAACCGTGTGCAGGTGCCAGAGCGAGCGACGGGGACCAGGCGGGCAGCTCGGTGTGCCTCTCAACTTGCATTTCAAGTCGTGATGTTACCAAATTCGTGCTGGGCTAAGCATTGTGCTCTGTCACTTCCTTGTGGGATGTGTGACATCAGGAGTAGTACTCACCTCACGGAGGGAAGGAAATTTCAGCCAGCTAAAAAGTTTAGGTGACACTCTACTTTCATGTCTGTTTGAAAATGTCTATGATGGAAAGTGAGGTTGGTGTCCAGGGCAGCTCAGCGTTGGAGGCATGTGGTGACCTGCCAGGGCTGCGCCCTCTCAAGGAAGGTTTTGGCCTATTTAGGGAGACTTGGCCCAGGGAGGCTGCATGGTGGGGACCATGCCTGTTACAGAAGCACAGAGGAGGATGCCACTGGTGGGCAGCAGGGTACGGGCTGTGGGAGCAGACTGGGATGTCTCCCTGGTCCTGGAGAGTGAGTTGGAGCACCCAGGAAATACACCTGGAGAGGCGGGTTGCACCTAGATGACTGAGCTGCTGTGGATCTGTCACCTAGTTAGCAATGGGGAGATATGAAAGGTTTGATTAATTTTTTCCATAATGAGCAGTATATGCTCTTCATAGGAAATAGAAAGTATAAATATTAAAAAGAAAAAAATAATTGGATCACAGCCATTCTTCATGTTTTGGTGAATATCTTAAGATTTTCCTATTTTTTTTTTTTTTTTGCACTGAGGATTGAACCCAGGGCACTTTACCACTGAATTAAATCTCCAGCCCTTTAAATTTTTTAAATTTTGAGACAGGGTCTCACCAAGTTGCTTAGAGCCTCACTAAATTTCTGAGGCTGGCCTCAAACTTGCCATCCTTCTGCCAAGTCAGTGGGATTCTGGGAGTGTACCACCACATCTGGCATGTGAAGTGCTTTTCAGAATGATAGCATGGCTGAATGCAGTGGTGCWTGCCTATAATCCCAAGCTCCGGAGGCTGAGGCAGGAGGATTGCAAGTTTGAGACCAGTGTCTGTCTCAAAATAAGTAAAAAGAGCCAGGGACGTGAGTCAGTGGTTAAGTGCCACCTTGGGTTCAATCCCTGGTAGCAGGGAGAAAAAAAACAAAAGCAAACTCTGGGTCTTTTTGGTGTGATGGCTAAGCTGTAAGCATGCAGTACCAGCATTTATAGCCTGTGACAAGCACACAGGGTGTCCACCCTCATCTGCRGTTTTGCATCCTGTAGTTTATTACCTGGGTCAACCAGTCTGAAAATATTAAATGGAGAATTACAGAAATAAATAATCCTTAAGTTTTAAATAACTTTTATTGAAGTATATTGTTTGTATTGTTTGCTTTTTGTTCTTAGTTATTAATCTCTTTCCTTGTTTTTTTTTTTTTTTTGGTATGGGGGATTGAATCCAGGGCACTTAACCACTGAGCCACATCCCCAGGCTTTTTTACTTTTTGAGACAAGGTCTCAAGAAGTTGCTTAGGGCCTCACTACATTGACTGGCCTTGAGTTTGTGAGCCTCCTGCCTCSGCCTTCCTTTTGACTTGCTGGGATTACAGGCGTGGCCAGCATGCCTGGCCTAGCTGTTGTTAATATTATTGTGCCAAATTTATAAATTAAAGTCATCATGTGTGTGTATGTATTGGTAAAAATATCTGTAGGGGTCAGTACCCTCCGTGGTTCAGGCAGCCACGGGGGATCTGAAACATGCCCCCRAGGGTAAGGGAGGGCTGCCATAACAGCCCACTGTAGTAGCACCAGGGAACTTGCCACGCGCTGCCACTGCCCTGTGAAATAAGTGTAGTTACTATTCTTATTTTACAGATGAGGACCGAGGATCAGGAAAGTTGAGTGACCTGTGCAAGGTCCCAGATCCTCCAAGTGCTGAAGCCGGGCTGGAACCCTGGCAGTCTGCCCTTGTCTTTGGTGCTGAGTAATTCAATACAGTAGCCATTAGCTGCATGGCTATTTACATTAAAATTAAGATAAATAAAATCTAAATATCATTTCCTCAGTCACACTAGCGGCGTTTCAAGTGCTCAACAGCCACAGGTGGCTGCTATATGAGACAGTGCAGATCCAAATCATTCCCACCCGGCTGAAAGTCCCTTTGTGCAATGCTTGAACTCAGCAGTTTTCTTCCACTAGGTTACAACCCTGGAAACCCTCACCCCTTAAGAAAAAATTTAAAGCGGGGTCTTACTATGTCACCCAGGCTGGCCTTGAACTTGTGATCTTTCTACTTCAGCCTCCTGAGAAGCTGGGATTATAGGTGTGCACCACCATGCTGGGCCAGCTTTCACTTTTTTTTTGCACAGGGGATTGAACCCAGGGTCACTTTAACTCTGAGTCACATTCTCATCCCTTTTTTATTTTTAATTTTGAGACAGAGTCTCACTAAGTTGCTTAAGGCCTGCCTAAATTGCTGAGGTTAGCCCAAACTTGTGATCCTCCTGCCTCAGCCTCCTGAGCGGCTGGGTTGGCAGGAGTGCACCTTAGTACCTGGCTCCGCTTTCTCTTAATCATTCACTTGGGTTCAGTAACCATCCTGGAATGTCTTGTTTAATGGTACTATAATATGAATGCACCATAACTTAAATTTCTGCCTTTCTTTACTTATTTTGGTGGCTTTTATGTATTTATTATCTTTTTTACAAAATCCAAATGTGAATGGAACCCAGGGCCTCATGAATTCGAGGCAAGTACTTTACCACTGAGCCATACCCCCAGCCTGTTTCTGCTTTTATTTTTTAATTTTTTAAAAATTTTATTTATTTTGTAGGGTTAGGGATTGAACCAGGGGTGCTCTACCACTGTGCTCCACCCAAGCCCTTTTTATTTTTRTTTTGAGAAGCTAAGTTGCTGAGGGTGGCCTTGAACTTGCAATCCTTCTGTCTCAGTCCCCAAGCCAAGTCATTGGGATTATGGTGTGCACCACTGYACCTGAGTCTACTTTTAAACATGGAGGTGTTTGTGAGATTTCACCAAAATGAACATTCTCAGAGCTACATCTTTATGAACAGGCTTAGATTTTGAGTAGAATTGATGTTACAGAATCAGTGTTTAGAAGCAGTGAGGCTGGCGGCCCCCTTAGATAGGATTGGCAGGGTAAGGGAGGAGACCTTGGGGCTGGGGGACAGAGGTGGGAAAGGGTGACAGCCACCCACTGGTGAGCTCTCGTAGGGGCCAACACAGTGCAAGCCCAAAGCAAGTCACCTCTTAGTGGATCCTCACCAACTAACAAGGTGGATGTCATCCTGCCATTTATCAGAGGGGGAAACGGGTACCGGGTACGGGCTTGCCCAGGATCTGCTGCTCATAGGGTGTGCTGCAGTAAGGTGTTCATGGTGGTCCCAGGGAGGAACCCGGGTGGCATGTGAGGCAAGTGCTCYGCCCATGGAGCTGCACCCCCTGGCTTTAGTCATTTGGATGGGAGACAAGGAAAGGGTGAAGGTGTAGTTATGGGAAAGGAGGCTTGATTTGAGAACCCCGTCTGTTGACAGTGCCGCTGCCGCTGTGCCTCACGGCTCGCACGCTCAGGCCTGTGCAGGAAGCGTGGCGCCAGCTAAGGGAAGCAGGCTCGCCCCCGGTGCAGCTGGGTGAGGGCTCGGCCAGCCACTCTGCACACAGCCTGTGGGTCAGGAAGGGCTTTACATTTTTAAATAGTCGAAAAAATCAAAAGAATAATATTTTGTGATGGGAACTTAGCTGAAATTCAAATTTTGGTGTTTCCTATAAATAAAGTTTTGCTGGAACACAGCCACGTCCCCTGGTCTGGTGTCTGTGGCTGCTTTGATGCTACAGCGACAGAGACTTGTGGCCTGCAAAGCCTCAAAGGTCCTCTTAGGAAGAGTGGCCAACCCCTGGGTTGTAGTGGAGTTGGTGTCCAGGGAATGTCACAACTTGAGAGAACGGGGGCTTTGATTTCAGAATGTGACGAAGTCGGGCTGGGGTGTCCCCAAGAGAAGTTCYGCTGAAACGTCTCATTTCCCAGAGTGGAGGTCAAACCCACTYGCGCTCTCGTGGGGCAGTGTCTTCCTGTCCCTCTGGCTTGTTCCTTTGGGAAACAAGAGTCGTGTTGAAGAGAGGATTGGGGTCTTTGGGACAGTGGTTTGCTTTTGTGGGTGACCTTGCCTACACAGGCGCCCCTGGAATACCTGTCACATTTATTTCCTGCGGATGCCGCAGCAGTTGCCTTGCCAGCCTCACTTCCCACCCCGCCTCGCTCGACGCCCCCTGCAGTGCTGGGTGGTAAAGCCATTGCCTTACAGTTCATTTCTTGAATTGAAGGCTTGTTTCTTTTCTTTTCTTTTCTTTTCTTTTCTTTTCTTTTGTTACCAGGGGTTGAATTCAGGGGCACTCGACCACTGAGCCACATCCCCAGCCCTATTTTGTATTTTATTTAGTGACACGGTCTCACTGAGTTGCTTAGTGCTTCGCAGCTGCTAAGGTTGGCTTTGAACTCCTGATCCTCCTGTGTCAGCTTCCCAAATCGCTGGGATTACAGTGGTACAGCGCTCAGCCCCTCCACCCCACTTGTTTCTTTCTTTTTTTTTTTTTTTAGAGAGAGAGAAAAAAAAATTTAATATTTATTTTTTAGTTTTCGGCAGACACAACATCTTTGTTGGTATGTGGTGCTGAGGATCGAACCCGGGCCGCACGCATGCCAGGCGAGCGCGCTACCGCTTGAGCCACATCYCCAGCCCCCTACTTGTTTCTTTTAAATTATTGTTTTGCTTCCAGTTAGTGGAAATTYCTTAACTGAAGAAAACGATGAACAACTAGTCAAACTTGTCATTTACTACATCTTGTATTGATTCACCCCAAAACCTAAATTAGCAGAAGGTATCAGAATGGCAAAAAGCTTATACAAGTGTGTAAAACAGCCAGGTGCTGTGACGCACACCTGAAATCTTAGCAACCCAGCAGGCTGAGGCAGGAGGATTGCAAGTTCTAGGCCAGCCTCAGCAACTTATCGAGGTCATAAGCAACTTAGTGAGACCCAATCTCCAAATTTAAAAAAAAATAGGTCTGGGGATATAGCTCAGTTGGTGGAGCACTTGCCTTGAATACACAAGGCCCTGGGTTCAATCCCCAGCACCACCAAAAAATAAATAAATAAAATGTTTAATTCAGCTTTCATTAAAGAATTTAACACCTAAATTCTTTTTAAAAATACTCTATCCTCGGGTTGGAAACTGGGGCCTCGTGCATGGTAGGTAGGCAAGTGCTCTAGCATAGATGACACCCTCAGCTCCTAAATTCTCTTTTTTAAAAATAGATTTACAGCATAAGAATTTATACAAATACCCAACTAGACAAATCTTTTGACGTCTAATGTTAATATGTCCTTCATAAATTCTCATTTCTTTTTGTTTTTCTGCTTTAATGACATCATAGCTGGGCATGGTGGTGCATGCCTGTAATCCCAGTGACTCAGGAGGCTGAGGCAGGAGGATGCAGGTTCAAAGTCAGGCTCAGCAATTTAGGGAGGCTGTAAGCAATCTAGGGAGATCCTGTCTCAAAAAATAAAAAGGGCTGGGGATGTGGCTCAGTGGTTAAGTGTCCCTGGGTTCAGTCTCCAATACAAAAAAAAAAAAAAGACATCATAGAAGACAACAGCCGCAGTAAAGTCCTTTGTGGTGGCACAGCCCAACTGTGGTTTTGTTGGTGACTTTTTCCGGTGTGAATAAGCGTTTTACCCTTGTTGATGAATAGTGTATTTATAGCTCTTTAAAAAACTGTCCAGTTTTGCCTTTCACTTAACACTCAAAACTCCTCCCATGTCCTCCCTGATTCCTGACTGCAGTTAGTGGGTGACGAGGCCTCCTGCTGTCCGCGGCTCTCTGCTGCTCTAAATAACACAGCCATGGCCCTCAGTACAGAGTTCTGGAAGTGGGGTGAGTAGATGAGGGGACAGGGAAGTCCTAGCCTGCTCTGAGAGGAAGAGAAGGAGGGCCATGGCCTTGGAGCCACTACTGTTAACACAGTCAGGAGTCACTCCCTCTTGAGTGAAGAACTGTGATCGAGGATCTTGACTCTTGTAGGTAAAWTGGCTTGTCTCCTGGGCATATTCCAGATGAATGCTACGCTGCTTCTCATCTCAGTCTGTCACATGACATACCAGATACGCCAGCGTGCTTCCCACGCAGAGCACACTTCGGCTCTCTCCACCTATTTAGTTATTTCAATCCTCACTAATTCACATCACTATTTTATTTTTTTTAATTAAACAGGAAAGAGCCAGACTTCTCAGAGGTCAGTCTGTTCAACAAGTGGGACCCCAGGGCCTTCTGTATGTTCAGCAAAGAGAGCTTGCAGTGACCTCCCCAAAGGATGGTAGGTTAGGAAGCAGTGAATTGGGCGTTATCCCAAAAGGCTACTGGATATTTTATTTTATTTCTTTTTCAAACAGGCTCCATCTCCATTCTGGGTTCTGATGATGCCACTACTTGTCACATTGTGGTCCTGAGGCACACAGGTATGATGAGAGAGGTGGAGGACACCATTGCTTAAACCGGCCCAGCAGTGTGGGACCATTTCCCTTCTCACCTTGAGCTTCCTGGTACCTGTTTGAAAGCTGACTTGGCTTACCTTCTCTCTCGTCTGCATGGTACCTCCCTGTTGCCCTGGTCAGAATGGGTTGGCTGGGCAGCACGGCCTTTTCTATTTTTTTTTTAAACAGGACATTCAAAGATGAGGCAGCTGAGTGGACAGGAGTAGTCCTGGCTTGCTTCCTGAATTCCCCTGGGGAATAACCTGAGTCATTTCACCCTTGTTCTTCAGGTAATGGGGCTACCTGCCTGACGCATTGTGATGGAACTGACACCAAAGCCGAGGTCCCCTTGATCATGAACTCCATAAAATCCTTTTCTGACCACGCWCAAAGTGGAAGGTGAGCTCCATGCTACTCTTTCGTGAATTGGGAACTTTGTGGCATCGTGACACTACCATGCCTTGCTTGCTCCCCTGAGAACGCAGCCCGCCTTGGCACTGCTGCAGCAGTGAGTGAGTGAGTACACGGGTCCCAGGTGCAGGCAGGTAGTCAGTGCTGGGTTCTCCACAGGTGGGACCCCGAACCTGTCGTTCCACTTTTAGAGATGTGCTGTTAGRGCTGGGCCCATCACATGCTGCTGGTACTGCAGCTGTGGCCTCTCTCGCTCAGCAACTGCTTGTTGAAATGCTTCCTCTGAGCAGCAGCCGGCCACAGAGCCAAGCACGTGCCGCCCCATGGTGCTCTCTCAGGGGAGGAGCAGGCCCAGGAAACCACAGGGGTGTCTGGTGTGTGTGGGGGGGGACAAGGCAGGGAAGCAGCGTGTGGAGGCTGGGGCGAGGGGCAGTTTGACATCCCAGTCCAGTGGTGGCTAGGGTGTGGATTGCTGGGTAGAACCGGCCCCTGACCTGGCAGTCCCCCAAGACCATGTGTTCCTCTCAGCCCCCGCGCTCCCTCCGTTTGACAGGCGCACAGAGGAAGTATACTGGAGTCAAACGGCTAGAGGCTAGATCAGTGCTGGGCCTCCCACTCAGGCCACCATCACACCTCTGCTCACACCTGTACCCCTCCTTCCTGTCACTGCACAGGCTTGACTCATTCTGTTGGTGGCCAYTGAGTGAGCTAGTCCAGTGATATGCAAGTGCTTAGAATCCCAGGGAAGCTCCTTCACTTTCACTCATTAACTCAAAGCAACGAAAACATTTTTTCTTCTTCCTTTGGTCCCCAGGACTGAACCCAGGGCCTCCTCACACATGCCAAGCATGTGCTGAGCTGACAGCCCCAGCCCCCAATTTTAAATGTAATTCTCTTCTGGCTGGGTCAGCCACAGGCTGGCAGGCCTCATCGCTGTGACCTGCGCAGTTGCRAAACAGCAGGTTCATTTTGTACTGGCTCCAGCAGGTTATGTCCTAGACCTGACGCTGGGCCTGGACTCYGTGGTTCTCAGAACATGGTCATCAGCTATTCCTGGTCTGTTCCTAGGGGAACTGATTTGGTTACTGTGGAAGCCCGGAGCCTAGTCTGGTAGTCCAGTGGTCACAAAGCCAGTGGTCACAGCCCTTCTTACTATTTAACATCTCTTATGAGGCCACTTGATGCCACACCCTGTACAGGGTACATAGCAGTTCTGGTTCATTCTTTAGGAAGGTCGTGTGTCTTGGTGGACATCAGTGCAGTATGGCAGCACCTCTCCCCTCCCCCAGCACGAGTCTCCCAGGTTGTTACAGGCTATGGAGAAGGTCACGTATGAGAAATGGGGTCAGACAAAGTTAGTTTGGGTGYTGTAGTTGTATCACTTGTCAGAGCTTTACTATACTCTGGTGCACGGRGACTCCGAGGGAGAGGTCACCAAAGGCATGGTTTCTCAAACTACCCCTTGTTCCCATCTCATGGGGCCGTGTTTGTGCTCACACTGTGGGAAGGTCTGGTGTCCTGGGTCCTAGGCTTGTGCTTTGGAAATGCTGATGAGAACCCCTCAGAGGAGGCAGCACCCACCTAGTGTCTACTTGCCAGGGAGCCCTCTCTTACATCTCACCCAGCTCTTCCTGGTTGAGGACCTCAAGAAATTTTAAAAGTGTCTCACTTGGGTGGGTGGATGACGAAGCAGTTGTGTTCCTCTAGAGCAGTTTCTCACCTCTGCACAGGTGGCACTGCATTTGTGTTCAGATGGCCATCCCCTCCGTCATCAGGGAAGCTGGGCAGGGTCCTCAGAAGACTGCCAGTGGCCTTGGCAGCGCCACCCACATTCCCAGTTTGCCCCAAATTTGTGTGTTGTGAATGAAAAAGGCCAGAAGCATCCTGGAGCAGGGGTTCGTGGAAGCTCAGAACTAAAAATCAAAGCAGAACCAGCGTGCCCTGCCGCGTGCTGTCCTGGCTCTGACCACCGTGCCGTCTCTTTGCCAGGCTGGAAGTGCACCTCGTGGGAGGCTTCAGTGATGACAGGCAGTTGTCACAAAAACTTACTCACCAACTTCTTAGTAAGTTCATTGTTTCTTTCTCTAGTTTGATAAAGATTTCCACCTATTTTTTGCTTTTTTTTTTCCACCTATTTTTTGTTAAAAATCCCAACTAGAATGAAGCCTAAGAGGGCAGACTTGGAGTAGATGAAGAAATGGTCCTGCTCAGCTGGAACTGAACACAGAGGTAGAACAGCACGGAGCGAAATTTGGAGGGGCCAACAGAATGGAGATAAGATTTTCAACTGGCACATTCTAGTATAGTAAATGATCCAAATTATATAAAGAACAGAACCATTCTGGTGGGCATGTCCATTTTAACCTGCAGAATCTAAAACACTGATATTTTTTTCCCTATTAGCAAAAAAAACCATCAACAAAACACTGTCCTGTCTTAAAGCACAGCAGTGAGGCAGTGAGGTTGGCACACACACAGGCCAGAATACACATGGGGCAGCCGTCAGAAGATGATGCGACTTGGCATCATGGCTTAAGTTTTTAAAAGATTTGACCCATCATTCTCCTTTTGGGAATCTTAAGCAAGTAATCTGAAATGCACACAGATTTATGCCCAGAGATGAGCAATAGAACATTATTTACAAGAAACAATAATCTGATAACTATCAGTAAGTTATGCAGTCACTAAAAGTTACTGAAAGAACTTTGAATTACAAGCTCTTAAGCTTGTACATGTGTAYTTTCCCATGTGTATGAGAGGATATAAAATTGTCTACATGGTGTGAGTGGGTATGAAATTGACTCTATGCTTGGGCTCAACTGTCCACAGAAAAAGAGGGAAGGAGAGAGACTGAGTATTGACACAGCTAGGATAGTTACTTCATTATGCCCCCTTGTATTTTCCACGATGACCATATTTTCTTGTATACATGTGTGCAGTGCTRGACATGGAACCCAGGGAGGACCCTGGGAATGCTGGGCAAGCTCTGCAACTGAGCTTCACCACCAGCCTCACCAGATTTTTTATGACCCTGATAATCAAGGGGACAAAAGGTGATCAGAAGAAGAGTTATTAAAGTCTACTCTTAGGGGTCTGTGTGTCCCCCAAAAGCTCTAAGGAAGATAAAGATGGAAAGGCTTAGTCGTCTCTCCTTTGGGCTTGAGGCTAAGCATGTGTCTGGCCTTAGCCCAGGTGGTGGCTGTGAGGAGGGCGAGGCAAGCGCTCAGCTGGCTTCCRCCTCTGCCCCTGTCTTGACTTGCTCAGCAGTGTGTTCTGCCCWGAGGAACTTGTTTGACATCCAATTTCAAAATTCTAATTATAGGTGAATTTGACAAACAAGAAGATGACATTCACTTGGTGACATTATGTGTGACAGGTAAGTTTTGCCAAAACAARCTGCAGGGTTCAGGTACATTTTGCCCACAACTTTCCTGCAGGACTAGCACCAGGACCCAAGTCGGAAAAGACACAGAGGTTGTCCCAGCTTTGTTGGCTGTCTCTAGCCACCACCGCCCACCCCGCCCATGACAGACCCTAGTGCAGGTGCTGGACTCTTCTCTCCACATGCACWGCATCTCCCTCCTCAGGACTGTCAGAGCCTGCCTCTCCTCTCTGGGAGGGGAGGCCCTGACCAGAGGAATTGCCCCCTGCTTGGCAGATGCCTGGGAAGCACCWGGGTCCTCTACTCAGCAGGGAAACTGCCACCATCTGGTTTTCTGATGTCTGCCCCCTGTGCAGTGAGGGCTCCTCCTCTGTTATTACACACAGTGAAAACARTTGTTTACAGCTTCTTAACGATTATATCTTAAACCTTTTTTTCTTAATTTCTTAGAATTAAATGACCGAGAAGAAAATGAAAACCACTTTCCAATAATTTATGGCATTGGTAAGTAGTGTGTTTACTTAGGGGTTGGAGGATTGGGTTCTTGTTGAAAAGGCAGACTCAGATCAGAATCTGACGGAGGATCCCTACTGCCATCAGTGCACGGCAGGCTGGACTCYTCTTTTTACTGTGAGACCCTGGGCATGCAACTTGACCTCTCTAACCTTTAACTGTGGAACTGCCACAACGTCCGTAACCCGAGACTCTGGGGAGCAAAAGACAGCAATGCACAGTATACACTGCCCACCTGCACAGGACCCAATAGGGCCACACAGGCCTGTGTGTGAGCGGGTGCCCTCTGGGGAGGGAGTGGGGCATCTGGATCTGTGCGTACTTTGGGAACTTTATTGAGAACTTTGAGAAAAAAGTGTACACCTCTCAGAACCTTTCTCCCTCCTGTGACAGTGCCTAGGATTCTCGGGGATGTGGTCTGTGATGGTCTGTATTTGCAAAGGGGTTCTRCTGTACCCTTGTATTTATTTAGCTGGATGGTGAATATGCAGGTGCTCATCATCTTACTCTCTGTAACTATGTGTCTAAAACTCTTAAAAGTTCAAGTTAAGAACACTATGATAGCATGTGGACATAGGGCTGACCAGATGGCTTTGCCATGTGCTTGCTGAGCATCTGCCAGGCTCGGCTGGGGCAGTTCATGTCTTACCTGGCCCGGCTCRGGCCTCGGCTGTTTTCAAGGCACAGAGACTGTGCTGTCCCTTTCCAGAGCGGGGAGGCTACAGATACCAGTCACTGTTTATTAGTTCCCAATCTTTTCTCTCAACTTCTGGCTCTTACTTGATGGTAGAAATGTAAGACTGTGTAAGTCTTTTGTCAATTCAAACTCATCCTGTTGTCCCTCACAGCTGTCAACATTAAAACAGCAGAGATATACAGAGCCACATTTCAAGATAGAGGCCCYGAGGAGGAGCTGCGAGCTGCCCGAGCTTTAGCTGGAGGCCCCGTGAGTGGGAACGCGTCTTTGTGTTAGGGGGGTGAGGAGGGAAAATGAATGAAACACCAAAGGCTTGAGTTTTAAAGAACTTAGAAAAGCTCATGTCTGCCTCTTTAAAGCTCAAGATTGATTTTGGGTTATAACCCAGATCCCAGGTTCTCTGCCTTTTTAGGTGCAGGAGGATATAAGTATGAATCCACAATGTCTAGATCCAAAGAGAATGAACCTCTTTTCATTTTAACAACTTTCCATGTATCTTTCCTACAAAGGGAGAGRGGAGCTTCTCTCCTCTGCACTTGGGATCATGCATTCTTTTGGACCAAGTCACTGAAAAGCARTGTCCTGGAATGATTTAATTAACCCCCAAAATGATCAGATCAATTTAAAACATTAATTTCCTTTAGGGTACTCCCCCCTCCCCCATTTTGGTAGTGTTGGGAATGAGCCCCAGAGCCTGGTGCATGCTAGGCAGATGCTCTACAACTAATTTACATTCCCCAGCCCCTAGGATGCATTTAAAAAAAAACCAAAAAAACAAAAAAACTGGTGCTTAGGATGCTTTTTAATTCTTTTAAATTATTTTCTAATTTAAAAAAAATTAGAAAATAACTGGGCATGGTAGTGTACACCTGTAATCCCAGACAAGTGAGAGACAAGTTTAAAGATAGGGTTTCACTCAGTTGTCCAAGCTGTCTCTAAAAAGGATGGGGATATATCTCAGTAGTAGAGCACCCAGCACTCAACTCCAAGTACTGTTAAGAAAAATACAAACTCAAGACTTACACGTCCCATTTGAGGGATGGCTTGAACAAGTCTTTAAAAGTACTCAAAAAAAATCAGAAGTTTGCTTGTTTGTGAAATGCTGACATTTTCATAGGAAAACATGTTTAGAGTCAGGGTGCAATCTTGTTTAGGATTCATTTTTATTCAAGGTAGCATAATAATCCTAATTTGGTTAATATCCAGAACACATTTCAGTTTTAGTAACCAAAACTGACTCTTGTTGATTAAGCTGAAAATTATTTTTTTTTATTTATTTTTTTTTTTTACACCAAGGATTGAACTCAGGGCACTCAGCCACTGAGCCCTMTTTTGTATTTTATTTAGAGACAGGGTCTCGCTGAGTTGCTTAGTGCCTCCCTTTTACTGAAGCTGGGTTTGAACTCATGATCCTTCTGTCTCAGCCTCCTGAGTTGGTGGGATTACAGGCATGTACCACCACATCTGGCTCTGAAAATTATCATTGACAAATTTTGGGAATTCAGGGCTGGGGATGTGGCTCAAGCGGTAGTGCGCTCSCCTGGCATGCGTGCGGCCTGGGTTCGATCCTCAGCACCACATACAAACAAAGATGTTGTGTCTGCCGAAAACTAAAAAAAAAAATTTGGGGGGGAATTCAGGGGATAGATCTCTTGATAAATCAGCTTTTATAAGCTGATGTTTCCTTTCTTTTGATGGGGCATCAAGCATTGTGAGCTTCTTTTTTTCTTTTTTTTGGTGATGCTGGGGATTGAACCAAGGGCCTTGTGCATGTGAGGCAAGCACTCTACCAACTGAGCTATATCCCCAGCCTGTATTGTGAGCTTTTTAAGTTGCAAGGTGATCAGTTGCTTGGGGTATGAATGATAAGACAAAGTTTTGTGCAGCCCCGGGAGTATAGACTTCGATCAGACACACCTGGTTGTGAGGCCCAGCTCTGATGCTCACTGGACAGGTGACTTGCCACCTGAGTCTCCAGTTTTCATCCAAAGTGGGAAGACTGCCATCTCCTTGCAGGACTACTGTCAGAACTAAACAGCTAAAAACATTTCCCCACAAAGTGCAGCACCAAACACACTTCAGTAGGTGGCAACTTTGTTATTATGTGAAACACAATTTTTAAGCAGCTTATCATCTGGAAGGGTGCCTTTGAACTAGACTACACTGGAGCTCAAGTAATGGTAGGGTTTGAGAAGTGGGTAACATTCCTGATGTCCTATCCTTGAACTGTTCCCTTTTAGATGATTAGCATTTATGATGCAAAGACTGAGCAACTTCGGATAGGCCCGTATTCCTGGATGCCATTTCCACATGTGGATTTCTGGTTGCAGCAAGATGATAAGCAAATACTAGAGGTGAGAATTTACAGGTTGGGTAAATCTTAGATCTCTGGACCCTGGTTTTCTCATCTGTAAGAAAAAAAACGGTTTAGACTAGATAATAGCTGCTTTTCCTTCAGCGGTAATATTTACTTTCTTGAAGTCAYTGGAAGACCCATTGGGGATAAGTAATGTCCCGGGTAACTATACAGGTGAAGCAATAAGGAATATACTGTATTTACTGTACAAGATATGTACATAGAGAACTAGCTATTAATATGAGAATGTCCTGATTAATGATTACAGAACACAAAGATATTCTGACATCTTTATCAAAACAAGGCATAGAGCCACGTTCCTCTTCTCTCAAGCCCACAATCTTGTTTTTCAGAACCTTTCCACTTCCCCTTTGGCTGAGCCCCCCCACTTTGTTCAACATATCAGATCTACCTTGATGTTTTTAAAGAAATACCCCTCTCCAATGAATATGCTGTTTCCTGGAAATAAAGCTCTCCTCTACAAGAAAAAYAAAGATGGCTTATGGGAAAAGATCTCTCCTCCAGGAAGCTAAATGTAGGAATTATCAAAGAAAGCTACTTTTTGGCATGACAAAGACCATCGGTGGGGTTTGGAAAGAAGATAAATTTGGAATGYACACCATTGAGTCTTAGGTTTCCTTCCTTCCTCAGTGTCTCTCAAATGACTTTCAAAATAAAATCTTATTTTGACAAAGGCATTTGTTTAGATTTACTTTTTGCTTTACTAAAAAGGTCCATGTCCAACCTTTTTTTTTTTTTTTTGCCAGTAATAAGGGACACAGGAAAAATTACCTGTCCCACTGGTGTATAAATGGCTATTTCAGACACTTGCATATGTCTTCCTAATTCTGCTGCATTAGTGAATCAAGTAAAATCAATAATTTTGTCTGAAAAACAGTATTTAAGTGCAGTTTTACTGTAGATTTATATATAGTTCAGAGTTTTCTAAYCTAAGATTATTTTAGAAGCTTCATATCCAAAATTGCTCTACTAGAAAAAAAGTTTCATCTTGTTGTTCTCCATTATAACAACCTCTAAAATAGTCTCCTATCAGACTAAATTTGATCGGAGAATTATACCAAATCACTGTTCTTTAAGTATAAGGTCATTAAAATAAATGCCCAAACTTTGGTTATTATACAATTTATATTTTTAGAAACCTTTCATGTTTCTAAAGTTACCATCCAAAAGGAAGTCACCGTGCCTACTTAGTGGTAAGATTTATAAACTGAGTTCAGTGGTAACAATTTCAAGAACCTTTATTGAAACCAACATTCAAATAGTATCTCAAGGATGAAATTCTGTTTCAGCAAAACCAATTTAACAATTCCAAATATATATATAAAAACATTTAAAAATTAATCTTGTTAAAGGTGATAATTTACCCCTCCCCCTGGTTATCTGCTATACTTCATTGCACCAAATAAACAGGGAAGACTGTGTTTGATCATCTGCACCCCCTCTCCCCAAAAAAAGTAAAAAAAAAAAAAAAAAAAAAAAGGAAAATTGCATTTTAACAAGTGCCAAATGTCAAAAATCACATCAAATCAGTATAATTATAGGCTTAATGTGGCATAACTAAGGCTCCAACACTGCAATCCACAGATCCATTGTGAATTCCTCCCCATCTATGCTCTCCCATTGCTTGACTTTGTGAGGCTAAAAAAAAAGGCACAGGGGCCCGATTGGAAGGAATGCGGTGCTTTGGGATAGTAGAAATGGGCAGGAATGAGGAGCTTACTTCAGTAATTGCAGCAGTCTGGCCTGGTCAGACTGGGAGAGATGACTTCTCTGGCTCTCCTTTCTGAGCTGGGCCCAGGGTGAGCTACAAGTGGAAGAGAAGCCGGAGGTGCTCCAGAGTGACAGGTCAAAGGTACTTACTTGAGAATTCCACCTAAGGAGCGCTGCACAGCATACTTAGTGWCGGGCTCTTCGGAGCAGCCTCTTTCGGGCTTTCAGATATTAAACAGAAACGAGCTCAGTCTGATTTAAAAGCTTTACCAGTATTTAAAAATATACATATATATGTATATGTGTGTATATACACACACACACACACATACACACATACATATATATATATATATATATACACACATGGTCGGGAAGAGATGTTAGAGTTACTCTTAATAGATGAGTCCTTAAATTTGTTTATAAAGAGTATATAAAGGGAGAAAAGGAATTGTGGCAGAGGACAGTTCCAGACAGAAGCCTTGCCACAGCTTGGTGGACACAGTCCTTACTCAATCTCCAGGAAAAGCAGCAGTTGGAGACAGCAGGAGGCAGCTTCTTATACTCTCACTGTCCCGCTGAGACCTGTTCTCCTTGAAGCCAACCAATCCAACTCGATCACACTAGAGATCCTTGAACCAGATGGACGAATGCTGTGGTCTCCCTCTACGGAAGCCCAGCAGAGAACCTGCGGAGTCCTAATGAAGGCTGCTTTGCCACAAAGTCMCTATGTGCAACCTAACAACTTATGCTTATATTCAGAAAGATGAAAGTGTTTCAAATGGCAGGCACCCGAAATTTTAAATATTCTTTCTGAATAAAAAGTGTTTATGATAACTTGGGGGGAAATGGGATTACTATAGTTGGGTGTGCCAGAAACAGTAGTACTTGGCTGTTTTACATACATATAAAATCATCGATTGCCCTCCTAGAAAGCCTGGCTTTTAGGTATGTGTTTGTGCAAAAAAAAAAAAAAAAATTATTGTTTAGCACAAATAAGTCACTCCTGTCGTGTGAGCATGTGGCACAGTTCGCATTTTCAACACAACTCCCCTCCCGGGACAGCAGTCAGTCCRCCCTCCACCCAGCTGCGTTTTATCTTAAGCTTTCCGGCTCTTCTACCTGTGGGTGGTCATCTTCAGGGTGCTGGGCCCTGTTCTGGAGGGCCTCRGGATGGCTAGCTGGAGGGACGGAATCCCCAGGGGGTTGCTCAGGRCCATGGGCCATCTCTTGGGTATTTTGCTCGGGTCCAGTGGATAGGTGCTCCATCCTTTCCAAGTCTTCAATGTGACTGACAGAGCTGGTCTCACTCACAGCATCTGAACCTCTCAGGGACCTTTTGAAAGGCTTTTGGCCTAGAGAAAGATGGGGTGGGCGGTGCTGAGCGAAGATGTTCTGCAGCCAGCACAGCTTTACCTCACAGTAACTGCTTCATCAGGAACCCTGCAGTTCCTGCCTCTGAACCACCTTAAGAGGTGAGGGGGAACCCAGAATTGCTACTGTGACATTAACATACTCCCCAAGCTGCAACCTTTGAGGTTCTCTTAATAAAAGCTCAGAAGAGTAAGYACCGTGGTGAAAATACTGCCAGCTCCCCAGACCTTATGTGTCCCTTGGAATGCCACTGAGGAATTCTTTAAGGTTAAATCTCAAGACTACTTAATGGTTAGTGACAAGGATAGTTGGTCTTAAGAGAAATAGGACTTTGGATTCAAGAACCAGGAAACCACAGGAATGCAGCAAACAGGGAAAAACTATTATACGTGATGCCAAGGTCTATTTTCCCAAGAGAAATACAACCAATTTTATTCCTTGTTAATGAACTCAAAACATGGAGATGTGAGGTACCTGGAAGTCTCTGTTTGATTCGAGTGCCTGAGGGGGTTGGAGGTGGTGTCACTCCTGTACCTTGTGCTTTGTAGACATATGTGTGTTCTGTGGACTCCAGAGAGCCTGCCAGGAAAAAAAAGGACAGGAGTGGGTGGAAGCTCCTGGCAGAGGCTGTCCTGGGAGATGCCACCTGCCCTTAATCAGCCTGGTGCCTTAATAAGCTGTGACTAGCCATTCAGCTTCCCAGACTGGTGGAGACACTGTATTCCTGAAATGTGCTGAGAACTAGGAAAAGCTGTGCTGCAGCTGGCTCACTTGGCCACCCTGCTGAGTGTCCTATCTTCTCCTGTCTCCTGAGTCCCTGGGAATGTGTGGCCAGTGCTGTGCACAAGCACCCCTGGGGAGCCAGGCCCAGCTGCGGAAYGCACTTTAGCAAGAAGAAACAGACACCTCTTTGCTAAAGGCCGAGGCTTGGCAGATTAGAAATCAGATTATCTTTTGCTGTTATGACAATGCAGTCATCATTTCCTGGGGAAGGAACAAAGGAGGGACCTAGGGGTTGGGAATATTATTTTCTTCACAGAGYAGGAAAGAAGTCATAGGCTTTACTATCTTCCCCAAATTCCAGCAACTGGTAACACTGCTGGCTGCCTGCCTGGCGTTAAACAARATGTCCTAGCGCTGCGTGCTGTGGCCTTGGCTGCCCACTTTTTAGARTAGCTTCTGCTGGGAACTACAAGGAACAGTAACCCTGAGCTCAGGTGCCCAACCCCGTTGCCTTAAGGTTCTGAACAAACATGTCTCCACTGCTTCAAGGCACCGAGCCTGCCTTGTAGGGCTGTGTCAGCTGTCTGGGGAGAAGGAAGGTGATAACAGTAGGGGCAGACATGCTTCACCTGCTCAGGTGCCTGGCAGAGGACCCAGGGATAGAGAATGGGAATGGAAGAGACTTCTTAGCAGAAGGGGAGTTGGAAACTCAAGGTGTTTGGTTAAAACTCTCAGGTAAGCAAGAACAGAGTCCTACCTGCTGTTAAGTTAAAAGTTCTTCCCTTTTGTGAAGCTTGCACTGGAGAAAACCAATTCAGCACGGATCCTACTACAGGTATCTGCCGCAGCACTCCCTGTAAAACATAACCATTGCTCAGAATGGCCTTGCTGAGCCCCCTCCCAGCCCATGGCAGCTGGGAGTCCTTGTGGTGGCCTCACCTCTTCCAGAAGTCGCTCCTCATTCGCCTTCTGCAGCTGGACCTGAGCTTCCTGAATTCCTTTCCGAACAACTTCCGTCATGTTTTCCAGAAGCTGTGTAAGACCAAGAAAGGCATTATCTGCCTAAGTCTCTTGCCTACAGACTAGAACTATGAGCACAACATTTGGGACATTTTTCAAAAATATATCAGTAGATTCTGCATTAAAACACCGGTAAAAATGAAAGTAAAAAATCAAATAAGAGTATAAAATGCTCATGGAGGCCCAGACACACACACATCTTGGTGACTGCCTTCATTTGCCAGGCAACAGAGGAGAAATAACTACTTACAACCTGAATGTTGCATCAATGGAAAACACGCTGTTCAACATTTGTGGAGAAAGAGTCAGAAGTAATGTAGAAGCCCACCCCACAGGGAATGCAGCTGGTATCTAGCCTTATTTTAAACTTCCTTCTCTCCCCACACTACCCAAAGGAATTACATAACACACRTCTGCTTCCTCTCAGACATGCCTGGTTTGGAGAGTATGTCCTCATCCTTGTACCCTCAACCTCCATGCCAAGTGGCCAACAGGGGCAGGTCTGTTTCTGGTGGGAAGTCCGTTATCAGAAACACCTGCCTCATCCACTCAAGCCCAGCTAGCTCCTTTTTGAGAGGGAGGCGTCTTCCAGTGCTCAGTCGCTACCATCCATAGTCTGCACCGCACCATGCTTCTTGGCTGAATGTGCCTCTCCCCACTGCCTGGTGAGCTCACCAGGGCAGGGAATATGTCACACCCACTTGGCATTCCTGATGCCTGGCACCACGCCTAGCAACAATGACAAGCTTTTGGGGAAAGAACTCAGAGTAGACATTTTTGAGGGTAGCCTTTTCCTTCAGGACCCCAACTAGCTGGCCAACCAAGACCTAGAAAAGGTATTAAACACTGACTGGTCTTACGGACCCTAGAGTTCTCCTCGATCTCCCGGGCTGTGACTGCAATGGTCTCCACTAGTTCGGAAACATCTGTGTCGTCACTTGCCATGCCAATGTAGATACAGCTCTTCATACTTTTGTATTCAGGGCCTGTGGAAACAACAGACAAGCTTGGCTCCCAAGTCCTCTGATGAGGGTGAGCCCTGGGCCACTTTCCTTTATAATAACCAGGACCATGCAGAAGGAGCCTCCTTCACAGAGTGAGGAAGACACTGCTCAACAGGGAAAGGTGCAGAAGGCTATTGAGGAGGAGGGAGGACTCACCCTAGGAGCCGCACTTCCATCTGCACTGAGCCAAAGCTTCCTCCCAAGAGGAAACCTGTTTTCTTCTAACCATTATAGAAAATGTCCCTCCAAAGATCTTTACTTATAAAAGCAGTAATTACCCATTTTAAATGTAAGATCAGATTCCAGTTCATTTAACTTTTTCAGGAGTGCAGCATGGATATTTTCCCCCTCTGGGTCTGATTTCAAACTGTTCTTATCATCATTAGCATGTTCATACCTAAAAACAATATCAAATAACAGCACTTCAATCTAAGAGAACAAATGTCTCTTCAGACACAGGATTKTAAGTGGAATATGAGCTACTAGAGATTAACATGGATGTGGAGTGAGACAGGGGAAAGGAGTAACTGTCGTGTCTTAAGATCAAAAACTTACAAGAATATTCTAAGTTTTTGGTCCATGAAAAATCAGGAGGAAACAAGTTCTGTAGGTCTCTTACATGCCTTGAAAAACAGGAGATGGGCCTCCTTAGAGGAAAGCAGCCACAGAAGGACTGTAGAGGCCTCATGTAGAGGCCAGTGGAGAGCTCTCTTCCTTAGACCTGGGTTCTTTTGCTTATTGATTTGCAGTTCTTATATACCCAGGAAGGTAACCATCTCAGGGTCTCCCCCTGGAACTTGCACATTGGCACATACAGACAGAGCTCACATGGCTGCCTGCTTCACAGAACGCAATGGGGACCAAACCACCTGTGTGTGCTGGGCCTTAATACATGTCCAGAATGCCTAGGTGAGTTTTCAATAGATAACTATGCTATGACTTGTATTCATCTTGGATTTCTAAGCTGGTTCACAAAATGTCCCACCCATGTGCTTGACACAGCCAGGTCATCTTCATCACGTGGCCAGCCAGACCTTTACCTGACAACCCCGATCCCAGGCCAGTTGGGGTCATCAACATATAGGAGACCTGCCATCCCTTCTACTTCCTGCCTGAACTCTTCACGCAGCTGTAGGGTACAGGTCAGGACTGGCAGTTTGCTTTCAATACAGGCTACTAGTTGATCCACATCCTCTCCTCGAGTTCCTAAAACTGAAAACATTSACAGGATGTATAAGAAATGCTTAAGGAATGGTTAACAGTGAGAAGAAGGGGTCCCCTTCTACTCTTAGCAAGGGCAAAGGCTCTAGGTGCATCCAGCTGGCTGCAGCTGAGGAGTTAAACAAAAAGCCACTCAGCTAGATATGAAAGAATCACATTAAAGATCAACACAGCCAGCTGTTTCAGGTGTAAATATGCTCTCCCCCCACATAGGATTATTTATTTATTTATTTTTGGTACCAGGGATTGAGCCCAGGGCTACTTAACCCCTGAGCCACATCCCCAGCCCTTTTTATGTTGAGACCGGGTCTCATGAGTAAAGTGTTTTGGTGGATTTGTCTGAGATGCCAGGAAGGGCAGGGGATGGTGACAATACCATCATTTCAAGGCAAGTGCTAAGAGGTGTTAGGGCTTTGGGTGTAAGTGTCTTGGGATACTACTCCCCCATCCTTCCCTCTATTCAGCCACGAATCCCAGCAAGCTCAGGATGTCCTCAGCTGGCTTCTCCAGCCTCAGAGACTCAGCCTCCAGGGCCGGTGGTAAGGCCATCAGCAATCTCCATAATAATGGATTTTTCTTTTTTTAAGTATTTTTTTAGTTGTAGATAGACACAATCCTTTATTTATTTTTTATGTGGTGCTGAGGATTGAACCCAGTGCCTTATATATGCTAGGCAAGCACTCTACCACTGAGCCACAACCCCAGCCCCAATGGCCTCTTTTTTGCAGGACAAATGCCTGCATTTTCTTGCTTTCATGACTTTTGAGAAAATATCATCCCCCAAAAGTTGAACACATCTCATGAAAAACCACCAAACATTTTCTGAAAATATTTAGATCATCTCTCAAAAAAAGTACCACCATATTTTTACTTTCTTCCAGATGATTTTTAAAAAACTGACACATAAAAATTGTACATATTCATAGGGTACCAGGTGATATTTTGATTGTACACACTGTAGTGTATAAATCAGGGTAAGCATCTCTATCTTCTCACACACTTACCACTCATGTGTGGAAAAGCATTCAAAGACCTTCTACTAGTTATGAGATGTATAGAACATTATTGTCATCAGAGGTCACCCTACTGTGCAACAGGACACCACAGTTATTTCTCCTGTTGTTTAGTCTTCATTTTGCTACCGTGAGGTAATGGGGAACGTCTGGAGAGCAAGAATCTTGCTCAAGGTCCCACAGGCACTTAGTGGCTGAGAAGGAAGATACATGTCCCCAGGGCTTTGTCATGAGACACATTTTGAACTACACTGCTTTCTGAAAAGTCTAAAAAGGTGGCTCTCAACCTTCACTGGCCTACTGGAATCTGTGGGGAATCTTCTGGATAGTGGGACACATGGAAGCTCTTGGAAGATGGTGCGTCAGGAGAGGGCATGGGAGCTCTGTGCCCTTTCTTTATACCTTGCCTTGTATTAGGTCTTCACCTCTGAGTACCAAAACATACTGTTGTACACCTTCAATACATACARCAACAACAAAATGCAATTGAAAAAAAATACTGATGTCCAGGCTCCACTCCTGGACCTAAGAAATCAGATTCTCTGTTGATGGCCCAGCTGCCTGGTAGTTGTTAAGTCCTGCGGGTGATTCAAACATACAGTTGGGAGTAAGAATCATTAAAACAGAAAARCCAGGGTCACAGAATATCAGAGCATAGGAATTTGTGATTTCAGAAGTCTCATTCGATTTTTGAGATGTTACACTAGAATGTTAATCTACCTAAATGTAGTCYAAAAGAAAAGTTAAAGCCCTTCCAAAAAGAATGTTGGAGCTGGGTGTGGTGGTGCACCACTATAATACCAGTGACTCCGGAGACTGAGATAGGAGGATCCCAAGTTCAAGGCCAGCCTCAGCAACTTAGGGAGAGCAAAGCACTCCTGGATTCGATCCCCAGTTACCATCTCCACCTCCAAAACAGACAGACTGATAGAAACCACAGAACCAAATGTCAAAAAAAGTTAATCAATCAGCAGCAGCGTGGACTTTAATGGACATGGAACCACTCCCTCTGGAATAAAAATGAGGGAAATCCACAAGACTGTTTACCTGCAGCTGTCATTAAAGGGCTGAATCGTATACACGTGCCCTCGACTTCCAGGTCCATGACAGTGAGGCCACTCGCAGGTACCAGCTGTTTCAGTTGCTCTCCCAGCTGTGGGACAAGGACAGCGCATCAGCTCCTACCACATAGGACTCGAGTGTCCCCCACCTCCCCTCACCCACTCAGCCCAGATCACAGGCTTATAGAGCTGGTGTCCTTTCATATTCAGACTGTCTCTAAATACTTATGAGTTACTTGTTTTWAAAAATGGCACATTTTACATTTTTTTCTTATTAATACAAGTTAACTGTAGAAAAAATGTGAGATGCAGGTAACCCAACACCACAAAGTAAAAATTACCCATAACACACCACTCAAAAACACCAATTGTTGACATTTGGATCTTTTCTGAGTGGAGTGTTTGCCATAAAACATGATATTCTACACACACTTGAGTAACCTGAAGTTTTCATTTAATTTCATTCATTTTTCATTCTAATTTAATTCATTTCCATCTGCTTTAACCGGGGTTTATTAATGGCTGTTATGACCTGCTTTGCAAAGATGCACCGWAACTCACCAAACCCTGGCAGTGCTGTGGACAGCAGCCACATGCTGTCTAGAACATGACTGAGACTGTGATCCTAGTAGTATTACAGTATCCAAAAAGCGGCTGACCATGTAGCCTTGGACTGGCACTGTCAGCCTGGCACTGTCAGCCTACCACAGGCACACATGGACTTGGCCTGGTGCTTCTGATATGGCTTGGACCTCACCCCACACCCAAGCAGCAGCAGTGCAGCCCATATCTGCTGTTTTACAGGTGCAGACAGCAACAGTGGTCACGTGAGGAAAGTAAGGAAAGGAGGCCCAAGACTTGCCAGAGGTCACAGCATGGGAGGTGGGGATCTGATTCAGAGCAGAGCCCAGAACAAGCCGAGTGCTTTCCTAGGAGACTCCCTGCCTGTGAGTCAGATTTCTCATGCGTGACCTTGTGCTGTCTCAGCTAGGAGGCCAGGTGGTGATGCTCTGGGATGTACAAGGGAGCAGACCGGCGCTTTCCTTACCCAGCGATTCAGCGMATCGCAGGAGTGCCTCTCTCGGTTGACTGCTGAAGGTGCCATGTTGGGTGCTGGGACAGCTTTAAACACTGAATCTGAGGCCAAAACACAGGAGGATTCACTCTCAGAAACATGGCTAGCTAAAAGAAACATCTTAGTGAAACCCCACTTCACTTAGATCCCAATATGAAAACAGTCTCATATTATTGAAATCAAATGTGTCTGACAGAAGATTTAATGTTCCACACCTTTTTTCCCTCATGTAACAGCTGAATACAGTCACAGAAACTGAATTATTTCATTTTTAAAAATGGCTGTTTTCAAGAAATTTTGAAAGGCAATCCAAAAAAGCAAAACAACAACAACAAAAAGAATTGAAGGTTAACAACCAGTCTAACCAGCATCATGCAAGGTCAGAGTTCCCAACAGCATCCACGTTGGGTTTCACAAAAATTACCCTTCAGCTCTTAAATGGTTTGGGAACTTATTCATGCCTAAGAATATGCCAGATAGGCACATTCATCTTGGAGCTTACATTCTCGTTGAGGAAATGGACCATAAAGAAAACGAAAACCACGAGCTGGGGTTGTAGCTCAGAGGTAGAGCRCTTGCCCAGCATGCGTGAGGCACTGGGTTCAATCCTCAGCACATTAAAAAAAAAGTAAAATAAAGGTATCGTGTCCACCTATAACTAAAAACAAATAAATAAATATTAAAAAAAAACAACCACTATGTCATTGCTAGTGCCATGAAAGAAGGCAGGGACTCTAATACGATGGAGTCATTTCAGACAGGACAGACAGAGGAGGTGGGCAGCTAGTGGAGACCTAAATGGTAAGGAACCAGTCCCTAGAAGAACAAGAGGAAATGTGTTTGAAGTAGAGGGAAGAGCAAGTGCCATGGCCACATGCTAGCAAAGARCACTGTAGGAATGTGGAGAAGACCAGTCTGTCTGAGGCACAATGACAAGAAGTGTCAGAGGAAATCGGGGAAGAATATGACAGCCTCACATGGCATGGGACAGAGCCTGGACTTCATTCAGCTGAAACATACTGATGGCTCTGGAGGGAATATACGCTGTGATTTCCACTTACAACGCTCACTCACTGCCCTGTGGAGCATGGTCTGGAAGGGGCTATGTAGAAAGGAGGAAGTCAGAGATCAGCTAGATGGGGACTGTGGCCACCGAGGTAAAAAACAGTGATGCCCTGGACTAAGTTGGTGGCAGTTGGGATTTCTTTTTTTTTGGTTCTGGGGATTGAACCCAAGGGCGCTTAACAATGGAGCCACATTCCCAGCCCTTTTAAATATTTTATTTAGAGACAGGCTATTGCTGAGTTGCTTAGGGCCTTGCTAAGTTGCTGAGGCTGGCTTTGAACTTGTTATCCTCCTGACTCAGCCTCCTGAGCCACTGGGATTGTAGACACGTGTTACCATGCCCAGCTGGGACTTATTTAAAAATAGAAATTCCTAGGTCTAAACTACCAAATCAAAATATCTAGGATATAGGACCCAAGAATCTTTATTTTCAAGTGACTCTTCTTAGCCAATCTAGGACTGGTCCAGAAACTGGCATTTAGTAACCACTGGTTTAATCATAACAAACTATAATTTTTTAAAAATTTTATTAGTTTTTTAGTGGTACTGAGGATTAGACCAGTACTAAGCAAGTGCTCTATCACTGAACTATATCCCCAGCCCTCAAAAATATTTTTGACTATTTAACTTGAAATGGTATCAAATTTAAGGCCCTTGAATACATATATGAAAATAACCCTCTATTAAAAATGACCTACCTGAGTCTGGTAATTCCTGGAAAAATCTGAATACCACTACTGGAGAACTGAGCTCATCTTCTACCTGCAAAAACAGAAGTCTGGGATTACCAAGTGATGGCAAATTCCAAACACCCACAGAATGAAACACTGAGTTTGGAAAATAGGCTGGAGACCTCCATTTTGTACACAAAAGCAAAGATTTGATAAAGTTTTTAGGTGTACCTATGAACCAGCCTGACAGTACTCTGTGGATTCTAGGGTTAGCCTCTGACAATATACACTGACATTAAATCAGGAAGAAATCTGAATATTAATAGATAAATATAGTTCTACCATTAAAGATCCAAAAAGTATGGGAAAAGTAGAGCTAGAATCATCCTACAAATGCTTTCAAGAATTCCAGAAATTATTCAGGATTTATTAAAACTTTTTATACCCTCAGTGGCAGGGTGAACAAGTACTTTCTATGCACCTTGTAAAATTTCCAGAGCAGAATGCAAGACCTGCAGGCAATATAGACACCCACAATCTAGAACTGTATATGTATTTTCTAAATATATTTACTTATATTTAGTACTCAGAATCACTACTTATACAAAACAGGCATCAATTGACCACATTAATAGATTTCATAATAGATGAAAACATTCACTGGATTATGAAAATATGGCAGAAGTTCCTGCTCTCCACTGAACAAACAAGTGGTCAGCCATCAGCTTTGCCATGGGTTCAGGGTACAGTGAGCAGCAATGTCCTTGGCAGCCTCTGTGGGTGACTGAGGGTGGGGGGGCGGTGCATCTCTGGGGGAGAAGTTCTCTGAGCATTCAACAATAGCAGCACTATAACTCTAGTCATGAAACTCATGCTCCAAGGCAGAGTATGATGACTCACCCGTAGGGCCACAACAGGAAATGCTAACTTGAAGAGACAGGAAGTAGCTGACCCCAAAACTTTTCATAAGGCCTTGTGAATATAATTCTGATTAAGATTTATATTCAAATCTGCCAATTATTTAATGAGCTAGTTCCTATGCTAATATGCTCTCAGATTCTGTTACCTCCTTTAACTTTTACATAAATAAAATTGCTAATACTTTTAAAGAAACAGGGGCTCAATATTTAAATAGATCAGTGTGATAAGCCCAATAAGCAAGTAGGAACAAAAAAAGTGGCAGTAATTCATCTGTTCCCAATCTTCAGTTAAGGAAGAATAATTTGAGTGCTATGACTTCTATGTATATTACGACTGACTGCTTTCCTTGAACTCCAGTCTCAAGTGTTGATAAGCCTAAGGAAGACGGCACAAGGCTATATACATAAACTTCTAGTTCTAGCAACATGGCAGACTGGGCTAACGCTGAAGTTATCAATTCTAAATATCTGAGATACTGGATTAAATATAACTACAATGATAAAAAGTTTAAACTACTGCTGGGCTCACAACAAAGGTTAATTCAGAAAGAAAATTATAAGCTGAGCTGCAGGGAAGAAGGAGCATGGATGGCCGGGGCCTGGCTCTCATGGCCAGGGCTGTGGGTTTTAAGGCACACGAGGGATAGTAGTGAGTTTGCATAAAGTGTTCAAGAGCTTCTGCAGGAAAAAAGTCAATGAACAGATACATGATTTCAGAGAGTAATAAGTACACCCTAGAAGGAAAAAAACCTAGGGATAGAATGATAGATGGCAGTGGGAGGTTATCTTAGGGTGGTCAGGAAAAGCCTTTCTGAAAAGTTGATATTTGAAGTAAGATATGAAAGCTAAGAAAGCAGTCACGAGAAGAACTGGGAGCAATGGGTGTTTCTAGGCAGAGGGAGGCCGCTGCAACGGTAAACTGGTGGTGCAGGCAGGTACTCAGGACCACACACGGTGCTCAGGAAGCATATCCCAAGGAGCAACTGCGATGGTGATAATGAGGATGACTGACAGGACCACAGTGCTTTGTGATGTTTGCCAATTATTGTATCCTCTATGAAAAAAACAGCTGCTGGAAGAAGGGATGGAGCAGGGTTATGTCTGGGCTGTGTGTGGCCTTATAAAGATGCTCCAAAAGAACTGGTCATTGGTTAGGTGCAGGGGCGCACACCTGTAATCCCAGCTACTTAGGGGCTGATGCAAGAGGATGACAAATTCTAGGCCAGACTGGGCAACTTAGAGAGACCCTATCTCAAAATTTTTAAAAAAGGGGCAGTGCTGGGGATGTAGCTCAGTGGCAGAGTGCCTGTCTAGCATGTACAAGGCCCTGAGTTTAATCTCCAATCCCCCCTCACCCTGCAAACAAACAAACAAAAAACCCCCAAAACCAAACCAAGAAACTGGTGATTAATTAATACCATTAAACTCGGGGCTGGGGATATGGTTCAAGCGGTTGCGTGCTCGCCTGGCATGCGTGCGACCCAGGTTCGATCCTCAGCCCCACATACAAACAAAGATGTTGTGTCCGCCAAAAACTAAACAATAAATATTAAAATAAAAAAAAATACCATTAAACTCCTCTTACTCAGAGGAGAGAGGACTTGAGGAAATACTGGAGTGGGTTTGTAAAGCAGGACCAGAGAAGAATCCAGGCTCTGCATTGCCTTGATTCCCAACAGCTTGCTCAGTCTGATCCATACTTTGGGTCTTTCTCTTTGCAGTCAGTAGAATCTAACATACTTTGATTTAACAGCTGAGATCACAGGCTCAAAAGATTAAGAAAATGACTCAGTGTCATAGGGCTACCCAATGGCACTACTGAGAGCAGAACTTAAAAGYCTCCTGACTTGGAATCATCCCTGTTCCTTCTTCAGTGTGATATTTGAAGTAAGGTTCCCCCATCTAGAATTCAGGTCAAGTGGATCCATGCAGAGAGTCTCCCCACCCAGCCTTGTTCTAAAGAATAAATGCACTATTCCAAGTTGAGCCCCAAATAAATTCAAATATATAATCCCAGCAACTTAGGAGTTTTAAATTGAACTGTACTCTGATGAATTATCAAAGAAACAGTAAGTCTATTTTAATAAAAATCTAAAATACAATGAAATTCTAAAATATAAAATAAAACATGAAAACATGCCCACCTGAACTGATACACATTCTTGGTTTTTAGGACTGCAAAATTTCTCATTTCCTTGTCTCAGGATAGAGGGAGCAATCTCTGAGAGATTCATTGTAGGAAGACACGAGGAGAAGAGCAGGTCCACTTGCTTTTCTCCTCATTCTCCTTCATGCACATGAAAACTCTGGTGTCAGAAGGCTTCAGAAAAAGTAGCCCAAAGCATTCTGAGACACAGAAGGCTTTCTCATTTCAGAAGATGGGTGTTCTAGTGTTCTTGGATAGGTGAAGACGTTGGTGCTTGTAAGACCTTTGTGCAATTCTAAATCATAACGGGATAAATGGATGATATGAAAGCACTATAGGAATTTAAAAATTGTATGGTATACATTTCTCCTCTTGAGCTATCTGTGTAATGAGGTTATTAACTCACACATGTATCTCTCCAAAGATTCTGGTTTTATTTACTTGGAGCTGTCATAACTCAACTGATATATATTACATCTGTAGAAAATCATTCTATTGCTGAAGTTAAAAAAAAAAGTTACTTATTTCAGAAACAGAGGCAATTATATACTATACCAAGATTTTGATGTGGTTCACTTTCTTCAAACTTTCCTGCAACCGTTGGCTCTGCAAATGACAAACAACAATTTGTGTAATTTCATTAGATTGATACAACATATTAGCAAATTTTCATGAGGGTCATTGAGGGTCTGCTAATAAGGATCTCAGGCAGACAAAGGAATCTGTAATTTGGTGATTTCTAAATTCTGACTGCCAATTTTTGCAATTCAAAATTTGCAAACATTCTTTAATCTTTCAGTTAAAATTTACATGCCCAGATTTAAGAAAAGCTCTTTCATGTGAATCTGTCCTATTAGCAATGTAAGTAATTTATTTTAAAAAACTATAAAGTTTAGCTGTATGTGGTGGTGCACACCTATAATCCCAGCTACTTGGGAGGCTGATGCAGGAAAATCACAAGTTTGAGGCAGCTTGGAGAACTCAACAGACCCTGTCTCAAAATAAAAAATAAGGGCTCAGGGTGTAGCTCAATGGCAGGGTGTTTGTGTAGCGTGCACAAGGCCCTGAGTTGGATTCCCAGTTCCAGAGGAAAAGACAAAACAAAGCAAAAGCCACTTGAGTACAAACATGAGCAAGGCATGGCACTGACTGTTGGTGGAGGAGACAAGGACAACCAAGGGAACACATCATGCTTGTGTACTAGTTGGGGCATGGCTCCATCACTTGCCACCTGAGGACCAGGATAAGTCACCCAGCCTGGTACTTATTAGCTATGACCTTGGATACACTATTTAAGCCTCTGTGCTCCAGTTCCCTCAACTTTAAGATGGCATCTTACTGGATTGTGAAAATCAAATGTGCACCAATATGCATTATGTGCTCAGGAACAATGTCTAGAACACAGCGTGCACTACGGAAATGATGACCGCCATCATCACCACTGCAGAATGTCTCAACTCCAGTTCCCTTGTCACCAGGCTGGGATAACAGCAGTATGGATGCCTTAGTTCAACAGGTATTCATTGAGCATTGACTCTGGACAGCCCCTCATGAGACCTAATTTTGGGGGGGGGGGGCTCTGGGAATTGAATCCAGGGGCACCCTACCACTGAGCTATAACCCCAGCCCTTTCTTTTATTTTTTGAGACAGGGTCTTGTTAAGTTGCCCAGATGGGGCTCAAACATGCCATCCTCATGCCTCAGTCTCATGGGGTTACAGGCACATACCACCATGCTCAGCCTAATACCTAATTTTTAATATGCTGTTATCAATGGAACTTACACCCTAATGTCGTTTTGGGGGGGGGTCAAATGAGTGGATGCATGTGAAGTGCTTCACCAGTGCTTGGCACTGAATAAACACTCTGTAACTGCTACCCATGAAGATGCTGCTGCTGCTGTTAAGGAGGCGGGGGAGAAGATTGCTTTCTCCCCTCAGGGAAAGTATGAGAAAAATGGACTGTAAAGCATGAAATGACACAGAAGACCATACTGCTGAAGTCCATGCAGTTTAATGTGTGCACTTGGAACAGTGAGTCAGCAGCAGGGGATCAGTGAAATCCTCATGAGTATCTGAGATCAGCCACAGGTTTTGCTTTCAGGAACATGCCAGAGCTGTAGTGACCTCAAGGGTTAGGTGGTTAGTGTCATCATTATTTTCCTGCACCCCACAGGCCAAAGGGAATTGAAAAACTCTCCTGAGAGCCCAAGCCTTTTCCCTAAATTGACTAAGTTACTAGGGCAATAAAGGCTCCTTTTTCATAAGAACCAAACCGAGACATGAACTAATAGCACAAGAATACTATTTTAAAAATATGCTGCTTTTATAAACATAAATCTTAAAATTATTTTTTAGGGAACTATCCTATAGAATCAAAGGGCCACTGTCAGAGAAATAAGAAAATGCTAGTTTTTCTTAAAATATAAAAATAACACTTGAGGAAGTACCGATTCCCTAAGAATGAATACACATATACGTGCATGTACACACACACACACACACACACACACACACACACACATTACATATAATATTCAAGAGGCAGCTGTTTGCAAGGATGCTCAATATTACATATGTAATATGTACACACAAGTACATATATCTTTAAGTGCTGTGAAGCAAACCTTTGTGCAAGCTATATATATATGTGTTCTACCAATGAGCTCTATTGCCAATCCAAGAAAATATTTAAAACAATGATTTAAACATATATTTATAACTTACTGTGTGATCAGGCACTTTCATACATTAATTCATTAGGTCCTCATATAATAATCTTTAGTAGAATTATATCCCTATCTCACAGGAGAGAAAATGGAGGTGTTGAAGGTGACACCATGCTTCTGAATTTGAGTAGAGTTCAATTTTCATACCGTACAAATGCTACTTGTTTGCTTTCTAAAAGTTATAGCCTGAATGTTTGTATCACCCACAATTCCTATATTGAACTAAAACCCCAATATAATGGTATTAAAAGGTAGGGTCTTCTGGAATCTCATGAATGGAATTAGTGAAGGTATATATAAAAGGGACTGGAGTCTGTTCTCCCCTTTTGCCATGTGAAGACAGATAGAGGCACCATATATAATGAAGAGGCCCTCATCAGACACTCAATCTCTTGGTATCAGAGACTTCTCTGCCTCTAGAACTGTAAGAAATAAATTTATGGTGTTAAGTTACCTAGCTTAAGATATTTGGTATAGCAACCAAATGGACTGGATACTTAACCACAGCATTAATTATATACTTTTCAAAATTAGAACACTTCAAATGCAAGGAGAATTAGAACTGACCCCAGAATCCTGCAATTTGGGAACCGATGCCAGGGTGTTAAAAATGTGCATGTCATCCATATTCTACCTTTAACCTTCACATTCTGTCACCCTGAAGGATCAACCAAAGRGAGTGTTTATTCTTCTGCATCCTCTCTCTCCCTGGAAGTTATTCTGTGACTTCTTTTCTCATTCTAAGCTGACAGTGGTTTTCCTTTTAATCTTTTTTTYCCCCCCTCATACTGGGAATTAAACCCAGGGGTGCTCTACCATTAAGCTACACATCCAGCCCTTTCTTTTGAGGCAGGATCTCTGAAAAGTTGTCCACGCTTGCCTTTAACTAGTGATCTTCCTGCCTCAATCCACTAAGTGGCTGGGGTTACAGGTGTGTGCCAGCAGGCCTATCTTCTTTTAATCCGATTTTATCCAGCCCAAAATTCTGAGTCAATGCCAGCAGCTGCTCCCAGATCTTCCAACAAGAAACATATACATACAGGGCAGGAAGTCTGATAGTTTATGAGATGGTAAATTCAGATGATGAGGTCCTGGATGGCAGGTACACAAATGCATAATTTTTCTGTCTCTGCTTTTGTCAAGGAGATTTTGTGATTCATTTAAACTTCAGGTTTCTACTCACCAGTTGACAAGCATGTTTTATCCTCTCCACAATCCCATCAAGTCCCAAGTATTGTAAAGATAACCACAGAGGCAGGGCACGGAGTTTGTCTGCTGGCTTATTTGATGTAAGACCGGCAACTAATGTCTGAAAAAGCCAATATGGGTGCATTAATCCAAGACACTGGATCCTCAGAACTATACAGTTACCATTTACACACACTTACTATGTGACAGATGCTACTGCATGCTTTGTTTTCTTTATCCATTTGACCTCCCCACAACTCCACAAGGAATTCATTCCAGGTAGTTTAGTTCAGAGTCCTGGCTTTATCCATAGGTTTAGAGGTGAGTGGTGGCAAAGCCAGGAAGAGAATCCAGATGATATGCCTGAGCCAGAGCTCTCAGCCATTCAAGAGGCAGCCACTTGCAAGGGTGCTCTGAGCATCCTTGAATACCCGGTCATTATCAAATGAGCAAGACATCAACTATTTTAGCAATAATCACTTAACATGTAGTTTGTATATGCCTGCCATTAACTTACTATCAGAAACAACTTCTGATTTTTTAAAAAATGTCATGTTCCATCCTACTAGACAATGTGGATCAGAGGCCTTAAAATATTTACAACTCAGTAATTCTACTTCTGGGAACCTATTCCAAGGAACAATTTGAAATACAGAAAGATGTTCATTGTCTCATTTCAGTAACAAAAACCTGAAAACATCCAACAAATTCACAAGATATGATCATGATAAAAAAAACTGTGACACTTAAGTGGCTGATTATTATTTTTTTTTTTAAGAGAGAGAGAGAGAGAGAGAGAGAGAGAGAGAGAGAATTTTTTAATATTTATTTTTTAKTTCTTGGCGGACACAACATCTTTGTTGGTATGTGGTGCTGAGGATCGAACCCGGGCTGCACGCATGCCAGGCGAGCGCGCTACCGCTTGAGCCACATCCCCAGCCCAAGTGGCTGATTATTATGCAGTCATAAAATGTCATAAAAAAATTCTTCCTATACATAGGGAAGAATGAGGTACATAATAGAAAAATCTGTATGATATGGATCACCTGTATGAAAAAAAAAAGTAAAATCAAGAAAACTTTCACTCTTTTATTCTATATTTTGTCCCTAGTCAGGCACTATGGAGCATGCCTATAATCCCAGCGATTTAGGAGGCTGAGGCAGGAGGAGCACAAGTCTGAGGCTAGCYGGATTGGGAATGTATCTCAGCAGTAGCGTACCCCTGGAATCAATCCTCAGTATTAAAAAGAAACAACCACCATCACCACCACCAACAACAACAAAAAAATAAGCAGACCAGAGAGAGCCACTTATCTGGATTTTTAGCCTCCAAAATTGTCCCTAAAGCCAATAATGAGTATCAGCCACTCCCCACTCCAGAGAGGACAAGCTCACCAAGGCAGGATCATCATGCTTGTAGAGAGTCACTGCAGGAACAGCCGGCAAACCCAGCCACGGTCCAGGAGTCAGTGTCATGCTATCACATTTGGTTGTAGCCTACCAAGAGGAGGAGGAATTTTCATTAGATTATCAGAACACACTAAACCCAACTCCCTCTTCCATTTAAAAACACTTTGAAAAAAAAAAAAAGCCACCAAGAATTGAAAGACTTTAATTCCTTCTTAAAAACATTAATATTTAGTAAATCAAGAACATACCAGCACTGACGAGGAGACATAACCTAGAGCCAATGTTGCCAGATTCACACTGGAAGAAAAAACACCAATCTAAGAACTAATCACGTAATGTTACTGATTCATTAAATATGCACTTTCCAAAAAAGTGAAGGCTTTTTTGCAGGGTGACATGTAAATGTCTTTCAGTTGCCGTTAGCTTATATGACAGCAAAGGAACAGGTAGATGATATAAATTCCAAGAAAACCTTGAAAATGCCTCAGGGCATATCCCTGTTTACTGAGTCAGGCATAACCATTCTGCATCTTTCACAGCTACTCTTTCTCAGACATTGTTCTTTTGGAGATGAAAAAGAAACCTACCATGGATGATGTGGTGGGCACGATCACCACTCTGGTTGCCCTGCATCGGCTTCCCACCTTTCCCTTAAAGGCACTCCAATGGCCTTCTGAGACACACCCCAATATCCTCTACCAGAACACGAGCTTTAGATGGAGACATCGCCTGCTCCTGAAGTGGGCACGTAGCCTAGACTGTGCGAGCACTCCACTTCATGAGGTCTCTGCCCTGCTGGAAGGAAGGCTGCAGTCTGTGCAGTTATCATGCACTATCGTAGGAAAGTCCCTTCACTCAGCCCATACCCAGGACACCGAGCCAAGGGACTGTGACTGGGGAAACACAGGTGGGAGGAAGACACTGAATTCTGGTTGACAGTATATCTGAAGTCAATCCTAGTACTGGTCTTTTAAATTAAATCTCTTTTGCTTTAGTCAATTTGGGTTATTTTGTTATCTGTAACCAAAAGAACCCTTAATGATGTCACTACAGAGAGGCCTGGATGTCCATGCTTCTTCTTCTTCTTGTTTGTGGTGTTAGGGATGCCCTGGAGGTCTGTGTTCATGAAGACTATGTACAGGCCCAACAAGGAGCCACACAACCTCCTATCCACCTACCCCTCCACGTGAAGCCATATGCCATACTGCTCACAGAGCTCTTTCAAACGTCCAATCTTGTCTGTGTGTCCTACTGCTGCAGTTCCTAGAATAAAAGAAATAAACAGGGATATTAGAAAGAACAAATATCTCCTGAGTGTTCAAAGCTAGGAGCTTTTACATACAGTATCTCCTTAAGAGGGAAGAAACTTATTACATCCCTATTTTATTAAGATTTTCTTTGTAGACTGACTTAAAATCAACTTCTACAAGTTGATCTGTAAGTTTATGTGTACTCTCCATTATATGCATCTAACTATATTATTGATTTTCTATCCACTAGACCTAATGATTTATGAGAAATAAGTCTCCCATGAAGACAGCTATGGGTTTGTCAACAGCTCAACTGTAATGTGTAAGTTTTTTTCTTTATATATTTCAAATTTCTATCCATAAGCATTCAGGACTGATCTTTTAGTAAATTATGATGTCTTTCAGGCATCTGAAGTCTATTTTACCCCACAGTAATGCTGCTATAGTACTTTTGTCAGCATTTGCCTAAAATATTCCTTCTCATCCTATTGTCATGTTCTGGGTTATTTTGACTCAGGTGTATCCTTTTTTTTCTTTCTTTTTTTTTTTAACAGCTATATTTATTATTTGTTCTCATTAGTTATACATGACAGTAGAATGTATTTTGACATGTTATATATATAGAGAGTACAACTTCCCATTCTTCTGGTTGTACATGATGTAGAATTACATTGGTCATTATATTCATATGTGCACATAGGAGAGTAATGTCTGATTCATTCTCTTTCCTATTCCCATTTCAGGTGTATCCTTTAGAAACAGAAATACACACACACACACACACACACACACACACACGAACTTGGGCTTTTTTCCCCACCCAGGTTCTTTGTTAATATAGAACATACAATCTGACGCCTATTTAAACATTAAACACTTTGAGCCACTCCCTTGGTGATATGATTGCCCTACAGATTTTGTTGGACAGGTTCTTTTTCAGATGGACTTTAAATAAGACATAGAGCCATGTATTTTCCCAGCTGTCCCAAATTTCCAGTTAGTAGAGTTCCAACTAGTAAGATTTCATGCCCCTACCAATGCCAAACAAATCCTACTGAAGAAATGGCTTCCCCCTCAGAGTCTATGCCAGGAAAAGGGGTAAAACCTTTTTTCTCATACAAATCTCAAAATTTTAAAAATATCTCAACTGACACACTTAATTTGGTTGAACCAAGGTCACACGCCAACACATGACTCTTCTATCACAGTGCAGTGTTAGTGACTGGACCACATTCAGACTCCTTTTCACTTTTTATGGTAGTTGTCTACTGACTAACCCCTGGGATGTGTCTTCTGGTGTCTACAATAAGGTCTCAGTGGAAAGTCAGTCAGGTGCCAGTGGCAGTCCCTTCAGTCTAACAACTGATTGAATATGGGCAGATCTGTGTTTGTCTTTATACAATAAGTCAGACAGGAAGTGGTGGTTTCCTTCTGCAATATTTTTTCTTTTTTAAAAAATAATTACTGTAGCATAATTCACAGGCAATAAAACCCAATCATTTATGTCTTATTCTTGTTGTTTTTGGCTAAGTTGCTTGGGGATTGACCCGGGTCACCCTACCACCCAGCTACATCCCCAGCCCTTTTTTATTTTTTGTTTTGAGATAGAGCCTAAGTTGCTGAGACTAATCTCAAACTTGTGATCCTCCTGCCTTAGCTCCCTGAGTCACTGGCATAGGCATGTGCCACATGTCTGACACGTTCAATGAGTGTTTTTTTTCAAGGTTTTATATTTTTCAGTTGTCAGTGGATCTTTTATTTATTTATATGTGGTGCTGAGGATTGAACACAGGGCCTCCCACATACCAGGCAAGCACACTACCACTGAGTGACGACTCCAGCCCAACATTCAATGAATTTTGGCCAATGTATCTATAGTGCGTAACCAACGTGATCAAGATACAGAACATTTCCATCACCTCTGAAACACCGTTTCCCACTTCACTTGCTCTTCTCCCTAACTCCTCACTGACCCCAGACAACCCTGATCTGATTCTGTCACTGTAATTTTGTCTTTTCTAGAATTTCATATCAGTGGAATCATACACTGTGTACCTTTTTGTGTCTGGCTTTTTATACTTAGCATACTTTTGAAGTTGCTCTGCTTTGTTAGGATATCTAGGTTGTTTTGTTTATGAATATCTGCACACAAGTCTGTGTGGAGGTATTTCTTTATTTCTCTAAAAGTACATGGAAGTGAGACTGATGGTTTACGTGGTAATGTTATGTTTTGCTCTTGAGGCACTGCCATACTCTTTTCCAGATGGCTAAAACATTTTGAACCCCTACCAGCAACATATGAGAGCTCTAGTTACTCTGCTCACAAGCATTTGCCACTGTATTTTTAAATTCCCTCCACTCTATCAGAAATAGTAATATCTCATCTTGGGGTATTTTTTGTGGTGCTAAGGATAGAACCCAGGGCCTCACACATCCTAGGCAAGCATAAAACCACACAGCTACACCCTCAGCCCTATGATTTAAAAATTGCACTTTTCTAGTGTAATAATGTTAACCATCTTTTCAAGTGCAAGTATTTTCTTTGGTAAGTGTCTATTCAGATCTTTTAATCTTAGGTGGTTTCCTCCCTGCTCCCCTCTCCGCAGTGCAGGGGATAGAACCCAGGGACCAGTGCATGCCAGGCTCTCTATCACTGAGCTATATCCTCAATCCTCTTTTGTTGGTTGTAAAAACTGTACTGGCTTCTTACTGTTGAGTTGCAGGAATTCTTTACATATTTTGGATAYAAGATATGTTTCTCTGAAAAACATTTTATAAATATTTCTCCCATCTATAATTTGCTTTCATTTTCTTAGTAGGATCTTTTGAAGAGTAAAAGCTTTTAATTTTATTTGGTGCTGGGATTGAACAAAAGACCTGGTAGATGCTAAGCATGCACTTTGCCACCRAGTTACACCCTAGCCAAGCTCTTAATTTTCAATAAAGTATAATTCATGGTTATTATTTTTTATGCCTTAATGAAATTGTTTTTTTGAGACATTCCCAAGGATACCCCTGAATTTCTGGTCCTCCTTCCTCAGTCCCCTGTGTGGCTGGAATTAAAGGCATGAAGCATCATGCCAAGTTCTAAGAAATCTTTGCCTAATCCAAGGTCACAAGACCCTTTCTGTATTTTCTTCTAGAAGTTTTTTTTTTTTAGTTAGCTTAGCTTGTATATTTATGTCATTTTTATTTATTTATTTTTTAATATTTATTTTTTAGTTTTCGGTGGACACAACATCTTTGTTTGTATGTGGTGCTGAGGATCAAACCCATACCGCACGCATGCCGGACGAGCKCGCTACCGCTTGAGCCACATCCCCAGCCCTTAGCTCTTATATTTAGACCTATGAACCATTTATAATTAATTTTTAYATACAAAGTGAGGTGAAGGTTTGAGGTTCAGTTTTTTCCACATGGAAATCCAATTTTTCCAAGACCACTGGTAGAAAACACCTTTCTCCTTTGAATTATCTTGGGTCTTTGTTAAAAATGGAGTGACCATGAGTATATTTCTGAACTCTCTATTCTCTTCAATTAATCTCACATTCTTAATTTCTTATTTGTAGCTGTGTGTGTGTGTGTGTGTGTGTGTGTGTGTGTGTGTGAGAGAGAGAGAGAGAGAGAGAGAGAGAGAGAGAGAGAGAGAGAGAGAGAGAGATAGATATGGGAATTGAACCAAGGACCTCAGACATGCTCAGTGTGTCCTCTACCACTGAGCTTCACTCCCAGCCCTTATCTGTAGCTTTACAGGAAGTCTTGAAGTCAGATAGGGTAAATCTTCAAATTGTGTTCTTTTTCAAAATTATTTTGGCTATTCTCAGGTCCTTTACATTTCCATATACACTTTTAGAATCAGCTAATGTATATCTAACTAAGAAACTGAAAAGAGAAGGACAGATTTTATTATTATTTTTTAGTACTGGAGATTGAATGCAGGAATGCTTTACCACTGAACTATATCCCCAGTCCTTTTTTAAAATTTTTATTTTGAAGCAGGGTCTTGCTTAGTTGCTGAGGCTGGCCTTGAACTTGTGATCCCTACACCAGCCTCCCCGGTTGCTGGGATTATAATTAGGTGCCACTGCACCTAATAAGAAGCCAAGATTTTGATAGGAATTGAACTGAATCTACAGATTAGTTTGGAAAGAAGGGACTTAACAATATTGAGTCTTCCAATCTATGTGCATGGCATATCAGTTCACTTATTTAGGTCTCTTGAATTTCTTTCAGCAATATTCTGTATTTTTTGGTGCTCTGTATATGCTTAGTTAAATTTATCCATAAAGTTTTCATGTTTTCTGATGCTATTACAAATGACTTTTTAAATTTCACTTTCTAGTTGTGCACTGCTAGGAGGCAGAAATCAAAAAACTTTGCTAGGTTCACTAATTAGTTCCAGTAGCTTTAATTTAGTTTCCTTTGGACTTTCTATCAATATAATCATGCCATCTACAAATAAAGACCGTTTTACTTCTTCCCTTCTAATCCATATTTTTAAAAATATTTTTCTTGCCTTACTTCACTATCTAGGACTTGAGGCACAATGTTGAATTCAATACAATAAGTGAAGCAGAAAATGGTAGTTGACCTGTTACCCTCTGAGATGGATATTCAAGTGTGATGTTTAAAAACTTAATTTAGAGAAAGGAAGCACATGAAGGAAATGAAGAAGTGTTGACAACCTAAATGAAAAAAGCATGGGTGTGCACATGCGTGTGAAACGCACACATTCCCAAAACAGACCGACAACTGAAAATTAAAAAAAAAATTTATTTTTAATTTTTTTAGTTGTTAATGGACACAATACCATTTTTAAATTTATTTTTATGAGGTGCTGAGGCTCGAACCCAGTGCCTCACACATGCCCTCTGCCACTGAACCACAACCCCAACAACTGAAAATCTAAGAGCTAACATTAATATTATAGTTCTCACTGTCATGTGGATACAGATTGTATTATGTAATGGATCTATATTATGTAATGTATTATTAACATATTACATTACAATTATGTAATATAATGTATATTAAACATTTCTTAAGACTTTTCAGGAAAGCATTTAAGGTCCCTCTTGCATATTCATAATTGAAGATGCAGGTTTATGATACCTACCAGCATTTGCAACAAGCAGCAGGGGCAGTCTTCCTCGTTCTATGTCGTCTTTAATCATTTTTTCCAGGAACGCAACATCCTGGGACCAAATAACAAACCATGAAACAGGATACAATGAGCATAAAAACTATATAGTGAAAAATTATGACTTCCAAAAGCAGCAGATGACTCTCAAAGTTMATCACTCAAATCTATTTACTCTTGACATTTCTATTTTCCTTAATCAGATATGAAAACCAAAATTTTTCTTGAAGACTAATAGAAAAATCAGCTAAATGAGATAAAAGGTAAAAACTGTACATATGCAGAATATTTTTCTAGTTTTAAACACTTCAGGAAAATGTTCTCTCAACCCTCCCCAAAGAATCAACAAAATGTCTATACTAATACTAAAATTAATATAAAATTTAAAAAATGAAACTATCTTAAAAAAAGGAATCTGTCRTTTTTCCTCTGGCTTCAGTACAGAGAAGTTTATCATTTGCATGTCTAAAAATAAGCAGAAATCAACCCCAAGATTACAATAAAGAACCTCATTTTCAAAATCTGCCTATTCATAAATCCAGGCAACAGTGGTAATTCATTAAAAGAATGAGTATCAGAAGGAATTTCTGGTACTTATTTTGGTTGTTGTATTTCAATTTAAAGTGATAGGGCTGAGTAGAGTTCATGCTTAGCACGCACAGGCCCTGGGTTTAATGCCCAATATCCCCCCCAAATAGGGGAAAAAATAGGGCAGCAGCAACAGGTGATATAGTGATTAATGATTGTAAGATTCCTTAAGAGCTAGATGCTCCTGACCTATATACCGGCCAAACTTCATGCACATATAAACAGAAGCACGTATTATAGAAATATCAAAACAATAGACAAATAAGCTAATAATTATCTGCGGGTCAGCAAACAACTTCAGGTGAAAGAAAGACAAAACTTAACTCCATATTATTTAATAAACCAAAACCAGAACTTACCATCTGATGCTGGGAACCAAACATAGTGTTACAGGGCACACGGCACAAGCAGGGGAAGGGCAGGCCAAGCTACAAGAAGAGATGTATGACTTTAGAACAAAGTTCTCTGTCACTATTCATTTATGATTGTGAAAGATGGAAGGTTGATTTTTCTTTAGAAAAATCTTTCCCCTTAGGAACTCTTAATATGTAAGTAGATATTAAAGTATCTACTTGGAAAGTCAAGCCAAACCCCCAACCAAACAAAACAGTGAATTGCCAGATGTTGTTTAAAAGGATATAATGTAAAATTTTCTAAATGAATAACTGTCTTAGTACATTCTACCATATATCAAAAAACAAACACTTTTCCAAACAAAAGAAATAGTGGGCATTCTGAATGGTAATTTAGGATTCTTTCTCCAAGCATTACTGGTAAATAACATCAGCTAAAGGCATTCAAAGAACAATATCTTATTTGTGGGTCCACCCACACTTATACAGTAATAAATATGGATCAACAGAT